TTGTTTCATCACTGGATATAATATATACATTTGTTTTCTAGTTTTTTAAATGTATTTATTTATTTTTGGTACTACAGTCTTACAAGTACCTGGGTCTCTGCTATAATCCCACTCCACTTTCCTCTATCCCAGGCGAACAATTTTCAAGTTTGATATATTATAATTATAAACTATGATCAAATTATAAATAAAAAAATGAAGAACATAAGTGTCTGCACCATTTCTCCGTCACAGAGATCGTATTTATATCTGGGAAAGAGATAAAAAAACATTTAATGGTTTCATCAATCCTTCTGGTACTTAAAAAAATTAAACATAATCTTGAAATCATTTCAACTGCTGAATTTCTTACGAATCACTTGTAATTGATGATTTGTATCCAAATTTAATTTATTATAATGACGTTAATATTAAGGAAATGTTAGAAGGTGCAGAGAAAGGAAATGTTAAGACTCCCAAATTTTGTATTTATTTGGTAGTTCATACAAACAATTTTTTTACATGAATATAATTCCATTCCTATGTTACAGTTCTGTTTGTTGACAATTTTTATTTTACGATTGATTTCAAAATTCGTATTTATGGGTTTTTCGATGTGCTAAATACAAATCTCAACTTCATTTCTTCTTAAAAAATATTTGAACTTACTCCTTATATCAGTTCTATATGTTTTAATATTGAACACATACTATATCTGTATGCTAAATATATATACTTTTTCTAAACCGGACTGGTATCAAAAGCAATATTATGTGCACAAAATATAGTATTTTATCGAGCTTCAAATCGAAAATAAGAATAAAGCATGTATTGTACATATACACATATTACACCATGAAATATATTTTTTTGTGATAATACTAGATGGTATACATTTTTCGCACCACAAAGAAGAAGAAAATGAAAATGGGTACTTTGCGAGTAAGACTCTGAAACAATTTTCTTTTCTTTATTACTGTTTTCCCCTAATTTTATCGAAAATTCACTACATGTATGAAAATTGAAAATACATAAAGTAGAATATTATAGGAAGGCTTTATCAAAATCGTGAGAGCTGTTTTTCCCTACAGGCAATGGAAAAATACGGTTTTCTCTTATTGCGTAGAGAGAGCCCCATTTGTTTCATTGGCATCAGTGGTCAAAACCTAAAAAAAAAAAAAAAAAAAAAAAAACATCCGTCCACTCGTGGCTCACCGATAGACCCGAACAATTTAGTGAATGTGTTTTTCGAAATTTGAGGGCTTTGAAACGTAATGATCAAAAACCACATATTGGAAATTGGACCCAATTACAACAATTTCCTTACCTAGTAGCGACAGGCAGCTTGAGCGATTACGTTTTCATTCCAGATGTTAGTCAGATTTAAGTTAAATCATTTAACACAACAACAAATGCATCGAAACTAACCAAGGATAATCCACAGCTTTTTCGCTTAGTATTTTCCCCATACTTTATCTATGACGCACGTTGGTAGCTAAGTACCATATCTAAATCACCCGAAATGACGCACTCCACCCCTTACATACAGCCCGATCGACCCTGATAGCTGATGCATCGCTATCATCCCGATCCTCGGGTAAACATCTTTTTTATGTGTATTTGATTTACGCTCCACATCCACCATTGCTCTTAGCAAAAAAAAACTAGCGCAAGGCCCGTCGACGAATCGTTAAAGTGTTTTAGGTGCGATAAGATGACCGTAAGAGAGCCTTGACAGCGCAGCTATATCTTGTCCGAGGATCGAGCCTGCTTCCCAGTGACTCTGCTCCCTCGTAGTGTATCTCGTCTTCCTTTCACTTTTCTGACTACTGAAAGTTATAAATCCTTATACATATAAGGCGAGAGGAGAAGAAATAAGTTTCCACGAAGTGCGTCTGAAAAGACAACGACTGCGTCGGCACACCTTCAAGAAGAGACTCACGTTTTGGATTAACGAAATGTAAGTGGTAATATAAATTTTTATACAATAGTAGTCTCTGATTAAAGTAACATCGATTGCCATTACACCTCTGGTACTTCAAACACAACTACATATTATAACATCAAGAAGACTACGTTTAGAACGGGTTCCATTAGTATCATGAGTAGAACTAAATGTTGCTTCAATAAAGAATTATCGGATTTGATTTTTTATTATCTACATTATTTTTTGCATACCTTTCCTTTAAGACAAAACCAACAGAAACAAAAATAATTTTATTGATACGCATGCTGCTTTATATTATGATATATATATGATATAAAGGCCGTAGATTAGGCGGATCTACAGGGGGGCTTTCGGGCTGAAGCCTCCCTCCCCCCAAAATGGTAAAATATAACCATGTATTACAGAAAAAAATATTAAAAACTATCTCTTAAAGCATTCTTGTTCCTGTAATTACATTTAATAGGACTTCAGGAACCACTTAAACATCATTTCATATTGGTAGTTAATTTCTTTCTTCTTTTTTTTCAAATTAATTATCGTTATATGTATATGACGAAAAAAAATCTTTCGGGCTGAAGCCCCCCCAAAATTAAATCTTGGTTCCGCTAGTGGCCGTAGTTAATCAAGAAATGAAGAGTTATTTTTAAAGGAAAGTATTCTAGGAACTTAGAGATTTTATTACGTTGGGTTTGATTTTTGAAATCGACTGTAAAATCTACGTGATATATTTTACTTGATTAAAATATCTGTAATCTTTTAAGATTACACTTTCTGCATACATAAATTTTCATAAAATAACTTAAAATAGTGGAATCCATTTATTAAACCTAAGTTTCGACCCAACTATAGTAGGTCATCATCAGATTGTTCTGACAGAAGATGTTTCCGGTTAATTGATATATGTATTTCACGGAGGATTAATTAGTTTCCAGCATTTAGGTTATTTTACGACGGAACATTTTTTCTTCATAAATTTGCATAGCACAATTAATTTTTATTCCGGGATTTCAGATAGGTTTCAGTACGAAAGTACGCACATGTGGGTTTCGTAGTATCGGAAATTTTTATACTTGTGAAATAAAATAAGGTATACTTCATATTACATATCAGCTTAAAAGATGTTTGGCATACATCTTGTTTGGGATCTGTTAATATATAAAATGATTTTTTTTTTTTTTGGCAAGATTTTAAACAAAATTATATTTTTACAAAAAGTGATTTATGAAAGAAATTAATTTTTTTTTCTTTACAGTGGTTTCGTTCAGTTTATTTTATTTAAAAAAATATATTATGTTTAATAAAAATTACAATATGCTATGTTGATGAAAAATACTACAACCTGAACTACAGGATATATGTAAATTAAAGTTAAACAACGGGTAGTACAGTTAAATGAGCAGTTATATAATTTGTAAAATGGGGGCTGGTCCGCCATTTTACATAAATAATAATGATTAAATTGTGATAAAAAAAATGTTTGATCAGAAAATAAAAATTACTTTTTACACACAAATCAAATTAAATATTGATGTGTGTGTATACGTTATTAATGTACACATTTTTTAATATTATATTACTGATTATATTACTGAAATCGCTTTAATTTTGCTCGCGGTATCTGCACTATATATATATATATATATATATATATATATATATATATATATATATGTATGTATCTGTTCTGTTCTGTTGCTAATAGTTGATAACAATATTCTCCACCTCAGAGGTGCACATCTCCACCAATGAAGGAGGGAGCATGAACTCCTCTCCCCTTTCATCCAAAATATTTTATTGCTGTCTTATTTTTAATAACTGTGCAAGCTAAAGTATAATTTTAGAAATCATAGGTCATATAACTTTCACTGGCCTGTTTTATGCTTTTCCCTTGTCGCATGGTTTGAAACTTTTCGTTTCGAAAATTCATAACATCCTCTAAATGTGCTTCCCATAAAAAATTCAAAAGTCCGTCATGTGTCATCCCCTCAAAATATTTCGCCATAAACCTCCTTCTGGACACCCCTGCTCTATCTATTACTCCAACCTCAAAATATATCATAGAAATTTAAAAAAGAAAATTGTATTTCTGATTTTATAAACTATTACTCGAGAATTATTATTTATTTATTTATTTATGCCTCCCTTCCTTGCCTTTCGGCTACACGGGATTTTGCAGGGATGGCATATCACACACGTGCATGCCATTCCTGCTATTAAACCACAAATTAATTTTCAATTTTGTTTTGTTTTTTCAAATATCTTCTTTTTTCATTATTTTCAATATATTAGTCTGGTGGCCTTCTATTAGCAGGTTCTCTTCCTAGATTAAAGTGGGAGGGTCCCAGAGCAGCTTTCCACCCGTACACAAAATCTTTGTAATACGAGTAGTTCTGCTCCGTCACTAACTTGGGAAATTCATCCTCCGTGAGGCCATAGATTCCCATTTTTCTTATCATTTCGGCCCTTAGTCCATCAAAGTCGGTGCAGTTGACGATAATATGCTCAGCCGTCTCCGGTACTCCGCAAGTGGAGCATAGAGGATCTATGTCTTTTCCAAAACTATGTAACTTAAAGCGGAAACCCCCATGCCCAGTAAGGAATTGAGAGACCCAGTAGTCCGGGAGAACCCACTTAGCTTTCAAGCGACTTCGGACGGTGGAGAAATATTTTCTTAAAGTTGCTCCTTTCAAGGTTGTTACCCACCGCCGATTCCACTCATCTATGGTGTCCTCCCGGATAATCCTCTTCCATTTTCTTGGGTCTTCTGCAATCCTCACCCGGATATTCTCTGGAAGACCTGCTGAGCCTTCTCTTTTAAACTTAAATATTAGCGAGTCTTCTCGCAGGAGAAGGTCGAGAGGTACCCCTCCTGCTAAAATCTGCACCGCCTCGTGAGACACACTTGATTTTTAAAAATCTCAGATAAAAATTTTGATCAGATTTGATTTTGATTTTTTTTTATTATCGGTTTCAAACCCTGATTAAGATGTTATAAAATGTTGTCTTGTTTAGGTGGGATGAGGAGGAATCTTTTGTATTATTGTCAAAATAAAAAATTGTATCCTTTTTTCAGATAATTTTATAGGATAAGATGTTTGGTCCGGAAGTTGTTATCACAGGGATCTCTGGACGGTTTCCAGAGAGTGACAACATTGATGAATTCCGGGAGAATCTCTTTGCTGGAAAAGACATGGTCACTGAAGATGACCGAAGATGGCCACCAGGTAAGTTCAATAACATATCCATTGACCCATAATACATTTTATTAATGAAGAGGATAAGTGCACTATCTCGTATCTGTATACTTCTAGATTTTAAGTTCAGTCTCATCCTTGGCTATAAATGTTTTAAAATATATTTTTTATTATTTTACGACTAATTTCGTAGTTTTGCTTAAGTCTTATTTTACATAAGTGGATAATTCTACAAAAACTTACAATGTTTTATTATAATTAGTTAATTTAATGAATTAATTTCTAGGTCTGTTCGGTCTTCCAAAACGGAATGGTAAGTTAAAAGACATATCTAGATTTGATGCATCATTTTTCGGTGTACACGCAAAGCAGGCCGATGTCATGGATCCACAACTTCGACATTTATTAGAACTCACCTATGAGGCTATTGTCGATGCAGGTAATCCTTAGTTCAGATTCGGATAAATGTCTTCAATGTAAATTTAAAAAGTTATCAATGAATGCTGTATCTGTTTATAGGGATGAATCCCCAGGAACTGCGCGGCTCGAAGACAGGGGTGTTCATCGGCCAAACGTTCAGTGAGGCCCAAGAATACTTTGCACAGGACCCAGACACATTTACGGGTTATTCCCTTACCGGTACTTCTAGAGCAATGATAGCCAACAGGGTAGCCTACGTTTTCGACTTCAAAGGTATCAAACAACAATAAAACTATTAGGCGATAAATACTAAACATTAGGAGCTAAACAAAAATCATTGTATAGGTCCCAGCTATTGCCTTGACACGGCATGTTCATCAGCGCTGTTCGCCCTCCAACAAGCTGTGACTGCAATCCAACGCGGAGATTGCGATGCGGCGATAGTAGGTGGAGTCAACCTTCTCATAAAGGCACATACGTCATTGCAGTTTCAGAGGCTTAGTATGCTGAGCCCTCGGGGGACATGCAGGGCATTCGATTCCACAGGTGAGTTTGTTATGATTATTATCTTACCTGATGTGGTTTTAACCAACGTTGTATGAGAATGAATCATTATAAAGACAATTTAACGATGGAATTCAACTGTAGCACGGCATTGCATTCAGCAGGGTTATTGTTAATTGTTTAAAATAATAATACCATATTCGTAATAAAACGTAATGCTATCTTGAATTTAAACTAACCTAATTAACTCTGGAACATTGCAATCACAGGGATAAAATATACATTACAAGTTCTTAATTCGCCTCGGAATAAATTATTTTGGCATTTTATAAATAGATATATAAAAATAAGCAAATATGGATGATAGTAAGGTAAAATATAACTCTCTATGTACTAGTATTATAGTATAAATATAACCCTCTATTATAATAGTTCAGAATCAGAATATTTTTCCTATCCAAAAACGACATACATATACAAATTTATTAAAGTTAAAAAAAAAGTTAAAAAGCTCCCCCGGCCACCAGAACACGAACTCGTAGTTATTTTATCTAATTATCTTTGATCCGGATTACCACACAACGATGTATTAACCTCTTAGCCACCCCGCTCTTTCTCTCTCTCCTCTCTCTCTCTATATATATATATTTATATATAATAATATAACATTTATTTTTTTTCTGTCGTCTCTAAATTGGATTGACCCCTATAGATCTTTGACCGCGAGATGCAGTCTAGACCTACGTTCTAGACCACATCACGATTCCTGATCGTCTCTGGGGTAAAGTCATCAATCCTACGCTCGGTCGGTGTGAGTTGCTCCCAGTAGGCTGACGGGTCTCACATGCCCGGGGAGGGATCTCTAGTAGCGTAAATTTCCCTGGTGGACGGTTACCTTATATATATATATATATATATATCTTTTAAGTCCCCATCCACACCCCCTGGACCTGGAAAACCCCGTATAGCCTTAACGGCAAGGAAGGGGAAAAAAAAAAAATATATATACATAATTATGTTGATTATGTTAATTATCACTCATATTTTTTTTTTTTTACATAATATTAGCATAAGAGTTAAAACGAAAAATTTGTTTATTTCTTGTGCGTATGTCTAATACAGGTGATGGATACGTCCGCAGCGAGACTACTGCAGTACTGTTCTTACAAAAGACAAACGACGCTCGAAGGATCTATTCAACCATTGTGAGGGCGAAAACAAACACAGATGGGTTCAAAGAACAGGGGATAACTTACCCAGCCGGGGCGATGCAGAAACGGCTCATAGAGGACGTCTTCAGCGGGATACCTGTCAAACCGGAGGAGGTGTCTTACGTAGAGGCTCATGGCACTGGAACCAAAGTAACAGTTCCATTACATATATTTCTAAATAGTCCTAATGAATATCTCTAAAAATTAAGTAATCTAGTAATGATGAAAATAAAATAATGTATTACACACAATAAGCAGACATTCAGTTTTACTTCTTAGTATTTTCTCATAGTTACCTGTCTTTCTTAACAAAGACAATTTATATTTACTTCTGTTATAAATTTCTTATTCACTCATGGAAGATTCTGAACATATGGCCACATTGCTGTCCCAGCCCTTTTGTTTCGAAATACTGTCTTTCTGATGATCTTTTTTAAATTGACAGTAATTAAATGTTTTTAAGTTAAAGTAATCGTTCTATTTTTTATTATAGTATTCAAAATCACTTGGTGTTTATAGACCTTCATAAAAAAATGATTGTGAGATTTGTAAGTAATTATAAGACTGACTTTTGTTATATTAATGTTCGTGATAAAATATATTTAATTTCCCTATTTTTCACAGTCACGTAATTGTTTTTCACATTTTCATTGGACTTCCCTATCCCTATAATAATATATAATTTATCGGACCACTATTGAATAATTTAGTGCTGACTAAATGCCCGATCTGGGTGACCATCCGCCAGGGAAAGCAGCGCTGCCCGAGACCCCCCCCCCGGTATGTGATGCCCGTCAGCCTACTGGAGGCAACTCACACCGATCGGGCGTAGGACTGATGACCCAATTCCCGTGTACTTAAATCAGGAATCAAGATGTGGTCTTTGACCACATCTCGCGGTCAAAGATCTTTCAAGGTCTTTAGTGCCAACCGAAAAAAAAATTATTTGTAAGATTTAAAAATTCTAATGCTTGGTACGATTTCACCTTATGCTATTTTATGAATAGACTTCCACCTTAAATACACTGTTTTTTAAAAAATAATTTAGCGGACATATTTTTTTTTTCCTGAAATTAATGTAGCCTGAATGGTTAGTAGTTGAGAATCGCCTCCAATAAATTTCCTTTTTACCAAAATTTGAAGGTTGGAGACCCAGAGGAAGTGAACACCATCGACGATTTTTTCTGCAAGAACAGGAAAGAGCCCCTCCTCCTGGGTAGCGTCAAGTCCAACATGGGACACGCAGAAGCTGCGGCCGGAATGAGCTCATTGGCAAAAGTGATAATAGCCATGGAGACAGGAGTCATACCCGGCAACTTGTACTTCCAACAGCCTAACATCAACATACCTGGCTTGAAGGAGGGTCGGCTAAAGGTATCTAGCGTCCTCATCGTCTCATTATTATATCATATTCTATCTACGTCTTGAATTTATTAATAAAATCTGAAACTTAGTTTTAAATATTTTTAAGATATCATTAGTAATGAAATTATAAATGACTCATAACCATCATGAATCCTCAAGATGTTGAATAAAACATAAAAAGTACAAATATTTAACGGAAAAAAGAAGGTTATAGTATAATTTCATTTAATTATTTATTTTTTAGAGAATAATTACTATTCTCAAAATTTAGCTATATATTTTAGAACTCAAATGCCACTAATGTTAAAAAATATATTGATTGTTAATAAAATATTTTATCGATTCGTACTTAGTTGAAGTACCGCGGTAGAGTCAGTCCAAATTGACATTACTGGTAGAGGAAGAAATTTTGATAGATGAAAATAATTTTGAAACATAGTGCGTGGAAAATTCCGGTGATAATATTTCAAATTATTTTAACATTTAAATTCTGAATATTAAGTATGAAAATGAGGGTAGAAGATTAGAGGGAAGGTCGTTGAGTTATTGCTCATTTCTTTCTCCACTGCTTCACAGGAAAAAATCAAGTTTGACTCAGAATTACATTTTTTTTTTAAACATAATTATTCAAAAGAAATCATTATGATTCTTGGATTGTACAGGGTATCCGTAAAGTAGAGGAAAATATTTAAAAGGTTGATAGTAGACATCAAGATCTACAAAAAAAGTTCATATAAACAATTGGCCGATTTAAATCAGAAAAGTAGGAAATTTAAGATTTGTATTTTTTCAAGCGAGTATCGTTTTCTGTTGTATAGGAAGCAATAACTTAAAAAATGTTTAATTTAAGTAATTAAATATTACTCCATAGTAAACTAGAAAAAATTTACTTTAAAAGAAAGTAGAGTTTGTTATTGTTTTAAACTATTTAAAGAGGATTATTGGCCGGACAAACACAGCTAAATTCCGTTTAAAAAAAATTATAAATTATTTTTGATTTTTTTTATCATCCTCCAACAGTTACCCCACTCCTAGAAAAAACTTTCTTATTTAATATGCTTTTAGTCCGTATAAATTAAGTTGAGTTTTATTAGAAAACAAAATTGAGATTCGCCTTAAGTTGTTTAAAGAAATTATTTTCTATCCAGTCATCTTAAAGTACCCGTGGTTTCTGCAAAAATGGATACAATTAACTGTTGCAAAGCTCTTATTTCTTGTTTTTTCGTGATATTTCCTAAAAACACATCTTATTTATGAATATAAAACATTTAAGACTAATGATTTTTAAAAATATTTTTCAAGTAAAGTGGTTATGACACTGTGTTTTTCACAAAGATATCCGTCACAGGTATTGCCATATATTTATCAGTGGCAAACATAACGTTTCTTACCAGAATTTCCGTTTAAAATAAAGAAACCTACTGATTGCTTCAATTATTTTCATAAAAATGTAATTAATGGGGCTGGAAACATAAATGCACATCAATTCCTATGACAGAAATCTTGAAGAAAAACACAATTTCATAACCACCTTACATGAAAAAAAAAAAACAACTGAAAAAGCATTATTTTTATAAATAAAACGTGTTTTAGGCAATAATGTTTATTACAATATATACCGGTATCATGGAAAAACTAGCTATGCAAAAGTTAATTATAGGCATTTTTGCTGAAAACACGGGTACTTTTAGGTAACTTGATAGATAATCACATCGTTTCTTTAGACAACTTTGAGCTGAATCTATCAAAATGTTTTCTAATAAACCTCAAACTTAATTAGCATTTACTTAAAGCTTATTAAATGAGGAAGTTATTCTAAAAGTGGGGTAAATTTAGTAAATTATAGGTTGATAAAAAAAAATCACAAACAATTTATGATAACGGATTTTTGCCGAAACCACGGGTACTTTAAGATGACTGGATAGGAAATCATTTCTTTAAACAACTTTAGGCGAATCTCATTTTTTTTTCTAATAAAACTCAACTTTATTTAAACGGACTAAAAGCATATTAAATAAGGAAGTTTTTTTCTAAGAGTGGGGTAACTGTAGTAATGTTGATGGATGATAAAAAAAAATCACAAATAATTTATGATTTTTTTTTAAACGGAATCTAGCTGTGTTTGTCCGGCCAATAATCCTCTTTAAATAGTTTAAAACAATAACAAACTCTACTTTCTTTTAAAGTAAATTTTATCTAGTTTACTATGGAGTAATATTTAATTACTTAAATTAAACATTTTTTATGTTATTGCTTCCTATACAACAGAAAACGATACTCGCTTGAAAAAACACTAAACTTAAATTTCCTACTTTTCTACTGGAAATTGTTTATATGTACCATTTTGTAGATCTTGATGCCTACTATCAACCTTTTAAATATTTCCCTCCACTTACGGATACCCTATATATTATCCTTTATAATATGGTTGCCATTTAATCACAGTATCACTTAGAGAAAATATTATATGACATCAGTCCCGAAACTAGGATTATTGCCAGAAGGATTTAATTTTGGGGGAAGGCTTCAGCCCGAAACCTTTTTTTTTTTCATAAAAATAACGATAATTACTTTGGAAAAACAGAAAGAAACTAACTTCCTATATGAAATGATGTTTAAGTGATTCCTGAAGTCCTTTTAAATGTAATTACACGAACAATAATACTTTCAGAGGTATTTAAAAAAAAAAATTTCCATGAAATATGGTTATATTTTACCATTTTGGGGGAATTCAGACCGAAAGCCTCCCCCCCCCCGTAGATCCGCTCGTGGGTGAAACCTTAATTATGCCGCCCCTTCTTTCATTTCCTGCCGCTCCCAATAAAAGCCACCATTTACTTCAGCATCTACTTCATTAAAATATTACAACCACTTAATCATTTTCTCATATTATTGGACGAATGAAACGTCAAATAGGCAAAAAAAAAAGGGAAAAAACTTCGATCGACATCTGCTTCTCTCTAAATTCTGCCACCAGGAGAAAAAAAAGGATCTTTGCCCTTCCCTTGTTTCGGAACTGTATCACACAAGTGTATTTAAATATGGGGATTAAGGTACAATTTGCTAACTCCCTAATTGTACATGTATGTGGGCACGCCATTGAAAGATACCGAAATGTGTGATTTTTAAATCACTTGTTTTCACACCATTTATGAATTTTTGTAATGTGAAATTGAGATGTTTTCGTATTTTTTCGGCAAAAAATAGGTCATTATTCTCTGATGATACCCATATTTAAGGTATATTTAATGATGTAAGTGATCATGGATGGACTGTTAGCTGTATAATCTAAATAGACGATATAACCAAGCACGTGGCATATTAACAAAAAAATAAAGGTGCAAAATTATGATTCATTAGTCAGCAGAAATGAATAATTTCAATTTTTAATTCATATTGAAATCCCTGTTAAACACAATGAAAAAGATTGTTATTACGCATATTGCATTACGCAGTCATGTTTATAGCATGCTTCTTAGGTTGTAGACACTAATACCCCTTGGGATGGAGATTACGTTGCAATCAATTCATTTGGATTTGGAGGAGCTAATGCTCATGTTCTTTTGAAATCCCACAAGAGATCGAAAGTATGCTCCAGGAAAAGAAAAATCGCAAGACTTGTTGGAGTTTCAGGCAGGACGCAGGAAGCTGTCCAACACTTCTTGAACAGCGTGAGTTTTAATTAATATAACTAACCACCATTTCCTAATCTTTACTATAAATCAATTTTTTATTTTTTAATCAATTAGGAAAGTTTTAAAAGGAAAAAAATATATATGTAGGTATATTTATATTGTTTATTTTCTTTTTTAGATTCTACCACACCGAATGGACGATGAGTTCATGGCACTTATACATGAAATCAACAAAATTAACATACCCGGTCATAATTACCGAGGTTATATGATTTTAGAAGAGGAACCGTACCAAGAGATAACTGTAAGATATTTTTACTTTCATTTACCTATACCTCCTCAAAACTGTTCCTTACTTTCCAACCCTGTTCCTACATGATAATCCCATTAAATTTTATCCCACCATCAAAAACCTTGGAATAATCTTTGATCAAACCCTTTCCTGGAAAAACTATGTGTCCAATATCTCCCGACGTACCTTTTCCACCCTAAACACTTAAATAGCCTGTGACACCTTTTTCCTTTTGAAATCCGTAGACTCCTGGTCACCTTCTTAATATTTTCCCACTTTGACTATTGCTGCACGGTATATGGAGGCGTCTCTGTGGATCTCGAGGCGAAACTAAAACGTTTGATAAATTGCTTTGTACGATTCATCTTCGGGATCCCAAGAGACGCCCCTGTTTCCTGTTTCTATGAAGAGTTGAAGTGGCTTTATCCTTCCTACCGCCGTAAGTATTTCCTGGCATCCTTCCTCTTCCAAGTAATTCACTCCCGCCGTCCTTCATACATCGCCGAGCTCCTTCAATTTAAATCCTCTGTCCACTCCCGCAATACCCGTTCCCGGTCTTCAGATTTATATATAATGGCCCACCGAACCGCTGCTTTCGATAAATCTTTTATTATTCGATCCTCTTCCCTATGGAACTCCATCCCTCCCCACATCCGTCAATCCAAAACTCTTCCTACCTTTAAATCCCAACTGTTTAATCATTTCTTATCCATCCAGTCCTCATAAAATTGTAAATAGTTACTGCTGTAAATATGTATATAAATTATTAGATCGTTATATATTATTTTTACGTCATGTTTATTTTCAATTTTTTTTTTATTATTCACTGATGTAAATTAGAAAGTAACTAATAATTTCTCTTATTATTTTTTTTTTTATTTTTTGACTATTTAATCAAACTATATTCTTGTTTATGTATCTCTGAGGCTCCTTAGCTCACATTTTTGTCTCTCTGTATTATTTTAAAGGGACTAGAATAAATAAAGTATTATTATTATTATTATTATTATTATTATTATTATTATTATTATTATATATGTAATATATAGTAAGTGTAAGTATTGAAAATTTATTGAAAAATATAGTTTCACGTGAAAATTTTCGAGTCTGAGTTTTCAACGGAAATACACGTTTAGAGGTACCCTGAATCCAAATAACCAAGCCCCGAAAAATGGTCTGTGTGTATGTGAACACTCTAGCTCGAAAACGAAAAGTCGTACGAAACTGATATTACGTATTTAAGGTAGGTATATGCCTTAGATGTCCTAGCAACTTCTTCCTTAAAATCGACTAACCGGAAGTGCCACATTACAGGGCTTAAATGCCCAATGTTCATATACGTCTTCCTCTAAAGTACCTTTAATATGGTTCATTTCAAATAATTAACTATCTCTCATTATTAAAAGTTACGAAAAAAAGCTAAATATAAGTTTTGAAAGAATTTGATAGTTGAATTAAGGAGAAAAAAATAAAAATGCTTATTCAGGTCGAAAATGAATCTCCGGAAATACTAGTCAGATTAGATCGTTAGAAAGCGAAGAATTTTAGAAATAAAACAATATCTAATATCGAAAATTTTAGAAGGTAACGGAGAGAGGCGAAAAAATTATAAATATAATTTTTGAAAACTAATAATATTTAACGTATAAAATTTTATATATGAATATATATTTTTTTAATTCACAACTGTCAGCGATATTAATTGTTTAGACGCTCAAGTTACTTGTTAAAATAATAATAAATGCATGTTGTGTTTAATAGATTATTTATTATTATAAATTGATGTTTATATAATTTTTTATTGTAATTGTTCATTAATTATTCATTTATTAAAACAAGTCCGAGGTTGAATAAACAAGTTCATATCAATCTTTATAGACTTGTATTTTTTTTTTTTTTTTTTAATGTTACAAAATTTAAGGTATTAATTTGATTATTGGTTGAGACTGCGACCAGCTTCACCATAAATTTTATTTTTCCATCAACGTACATGTTTTCAAGGAAATTAAATAACTAAATGTAAACTTTTAAAATATTTTTAAGTTTGAAAAAATATTTAAAATCCACCTAATCAAGGCAATGACGTTGTTAAAAAAACTATTTCATTGTACTTGTGTGAAAGAAGAAGTAAAATATAAAATAATTTCATGAATGTATAAAGCATATGTTTATCACCTTAAATACATTTACTGTAGTTTACTGATTATAGATCTGATATTATATTTAAATATATAGGAATCTATCGTCCGTTTATTCCGAAAAATCATCATGTAACCTTTTAGAAAATCAAATCAGTGAATAGTTAGATGAAATTTCCTTTTGTGATATTCCAACAGTATCCACTTACAATTATTGTGACAGCTTTTGACCTATCTATTACAGACAATGCAAATCTCTTAATTTCCTTTTAGTAAACTTTGGAAAAGTAACAGTTTAATAATTAATAGTTGTACAATCCATAATCAACCGGTGATATAATAAATAGGACTTCTGTTATTTTAATGGTATTTATGATTTGTTAACTGTAATGTTTTAGCTTTAGCTCGATTAAAAATGCAATTCAAAAGTTGTATAATAGCCCAACAAGACCAGAAAATAATTTCTATTCAAAGTTGAGAGGTGAGTGAAAGTTGTGTGTTGCGCGCACCAGATTTTTAAATTAAAACCATTTAATATTGTTTATTATGATATTAGGTTTATTTGAATTTTGCGAGCTTACAAACCAGTTTTGTAATCATAGCTACAGATTTACGTTTCCATTGATTTTTTTCCTTACCATCGGATATTTGCGGAGGTGTGGACCGAAATTTTGGCTTTAACAGAACAAATTAGGGTAATTTGTACCAAATTAGTACGATGCAGCATCATAAAATTTCCTACTTTGAGTATAAATTGGTATTTTCGTATATTGGGAAATTATGATAAAAATATGTTAATTCGGTGATGTATAGTGCCACTTTAGGTTAGTCGATTTTGGCGAAAAAGTTGCAGTAGTATCACAAACATAAACGTTAAATAAGTAACTTCAGTTTCGACAGTTGTTCCTTCTTGGGCGACTCACCTACAAACCCATGCACGTAAGCACACAAATACACAGACCATTTTGCGAAACTGAGTTATTTGGAATCAGGGTTCCTTAAAACGTGTATTTCCGTTAAAACTCGGTTTCGAAATTCTTCACGACCGCGATGCTTTCCCTTGCTAAGTATTTCAAGTATAGGTAAGGAAAGTAATAATGGAAAAAATCGAACATCAAAACTTTTTTATTTTAACACATTCATATTTTTTAAGGAATTAAAGAATCCTGATGGAAGAGAATTATGGTATGTCTTTTCTGGGATGGGATCTCAATGGACTGGGATGGGAAAGGGCCTGATGGCCCTAGAGCCTTTTGCAAAGGCCATATACAAATGCACAGTTGCCCTACAAGAAGAAGGAGTTGACCTGATGCAGATCATCAACAGCAGCCAACCAGACACCTTCGACAATATACTAAATTCCTTTATAGCTATTGCTGCAGTACAGGTATGAACCATTATATACAATAATAAAAAGTCATGCCTTGAACAATAATTATAAAAGGAATTTTGACTTAGATCGGGTTAGTCGATGTACTGAAGGCATTGGGGTTGACTCCAGATGGAATTGTTGGCCATTCAGTTGGAGAGTTAGGATGTGCATATGCAGATGGAGCTTTTACTGCTGAACAGACAATCCTTGCTGCCTACTGGAGGGGGAAGAGCATTTCTGAATCAAATTTGAAACCAGGATGCATGGCTGCTATAGGTGATCTTTCATTTTACCAGAAATAATTTTGTATTTTATAAATCATTAATTTATGTCAACTATTTCTTAATTAAAATTTCCCTATCTAAAATGCGAAGATATTCCAATTTATGCCATCAATGCCAGATTTATATTGAAACAAAGCATTCATTCATTCAAATTATTGATGATTAACTATTAATGAAAGTTATTACTTTAAGGTCTATCATGGGAAGAAATAAATGAAAGGTTACCTGAAGGTATTGTGGCTGCTTGTCACAATAGTGGAGACAATGTTACCATATCTGCTCCAGCAGAGTTGTTGGATCCATTCTTGGAAAAACTATCTGTTGAAGGAATATTCAATCGAAAAGTAAACAGTTCTGGATTTGCTTTTCATTCAAAGTATATAGCAGACGCAGGGCCTCAACTACGAGCTAATCTTGAGAAAGTAAACAAAAGTATTTGATTACATAATTTATACATAATTGTTTTAATTATTATGATTTGTTAATATGTAACAAACGATGCATTCTATGTAGATAATTCCCATACCAAAACCTAGAACAAAGAGATGGATTTCCACGTCAATACCAGAGTCAGCATGGTCCTCTGAACTTGCCTCATCATCTTCAGCCGCATATCATGTCAATAACCTCTTGAGCCCTGTTCTCTTCCACGAAGGAGTTTCTCACATTCCTGATGGGGCATTAGTCATTGAAATAGCTCCTCATAGCCTACTGCAAGCAGTGCTAAAGAGATCTCTTCCAAACTGCTCTGTTATAGGATTAGTAAAGAAAGACGTTCCAGATGATGTTGGCAATTTTTTAAGAAATGTTGGAAAGTGAGTCTGGTATCTTTCTTTTATTTCTACAATTATGTATTACTTATACATCTCTATTAGGAAGATATTTTAATATGTTATATACTATGATTCATATGATGTACGTCTATTCTAGAATTCACAATGAAGGAGTTGCTTTGGATTTAAAGTGCCTATATCCCAGAATTGCTTACCCAGTTGGGAGAGGAACTCCTATGATCTCACCCATGTTGAAATGGGACCACTCAATCGAATGGCAAGTCCCTCTTTTTGCAAAGGTACATGTTATGCTATCTTAAGTTAGTTTAATAATTGTTTCTGTCACTCAATTATGTAATAAATATAACGAGATACAATTAACATCAAATATATTGTCCTCAGCAAACTTCAAAATCAGGAGAGTGTGTCATAGAAATTGATATAAATAAGGAAAACGACAGTTTCATAGTGGGTCACACCATAGATGGAAGGGTACTGTTCCCGGCAACTGGTTATTTGGTATGCTTCATAGACTGACATATTAGTTTTAAACAGATTTTATCTTTTATTATATTTTAGTTTTTTCTATTTAGACTTTGATATGGAAAACTTTTGCAAAAGTACAAGGAACTCAAATGGAAGAAACCCCAATAATTTTAGAAAATGTTCAATTTCATAGAGCCACTATAATGCCAAAAGAAGGTATGTCATACAATAAAAATCTCCTGAACGTTGGTCTCAGTCATTATTTAAATTTAATTTTAATCTTAAAGTGAATTATTAAAAAATTATATTTCTTAATGAATTATCAAAAATAATTAAATTACTTCTTCCAGGTTCAGTGAAATTTGCAATTAGTATTTTCGATGGTTCAGGCCAATTTGAGTTGTGTGAAGGAGGTTCCACAGTGGTTACTGGAACTGTTCGATCAATGGAAAACTGGCATGGACTAGCAATGAAAATCTCATCTTCAGAAAGCAAGATCCAACTAACTTCGGAAGATATCTATAAAGAACTGCGACTCAGAGGATATGAATATGGTGGATTCTTTAAGGGAATAAAGAAATCTGATATAGATGGTAAATAGGGCATAAAAAAAAATATTTTCTCAAGCCTAAAATGAATAACTAAACTTCAAAATACTTGCTTCTTTTAAAAGGAAGCAAATATTATTTAAACCATGTTTTTTTCAATCTACTAATAGGGTACATAGTAGTTCTAATTCCAAACCAATTGTACTGAAAACTTTAAATTAGCTAGTATAAATTAGTATTAAAAAATTAATATCAGAATTACGCCACATGGCAGATGTTGGTTGAGGAGGCCAATATTCAGCAAATGTGTCAGTCATTATAATTAAATAAAACCAATATATATTATTTACAAGCTTAAATAGTTATAATAATAATTTTTTATTATTATTACAAATCTGCTAATTGTCACTACCATGACAGGTGTGGATGAAGAATTGAAGACAAAAAAAAAAAAATTAAATATTAATTCCTACCTATAAATTTGTTTACAAACTTTGATTGAAAATCTATTTAAATTCTTTGGAAACTAGATGGTCAAGAAGAAATTAAATATAATTAATTCTATATTGATGATGTTCTGTTTATTGATGAATCGGATAATAGATCTATCAAAGGCTGCTGTTTGGTGGGCATCTGAAAATAAATATGAAGTTTGAGAATAGTTGTTGCAGGAATGAGCATTGAATTTGAATTGAAGCAGTTCAAAAATAAATGTATGGCTGTGGGATTAGATTTTTTTTTTGTTTTGTTTTTTCACCACTTCTTCGCCTTATAAGCTATACAAGGTTTATCCCAGACCAAGGGAGAGGGCAGGTGATCAATGCCAGAGTTAAAAAGCCTCCTGGCATTGGGACACAAACATATAATTATTTTGTTGGGCAATGCATGCTTGGCACAGAAGTTAGTTCCCTCAGCCACCCTGCCCCCAAGAGGCTGGTAATAGGTTGGAAGGTAGGAGGAGAGGTACATTTGAAAGTTATCTGCATAGATAGAACAAGAGGTATCATTAATAAAATTAGCTAATAAAATGGGGAATAAAGACAAACTTTCAGTTACACCATAGGTGAGGAAAAATATATTGGATGGAGATTCAACCTGGACAACTTCATAATATGACCGAACTAAAAAGGATTTGAAACAGCAAAGTCAGTGTTGGATAAAGGAAAATATTTGTAGTTAAATGAGGAGGATAGCATGTGTCAAATGGTCAAGAGAAATCTAGAAGGATAAGGATAGTTACTTCTATGGAGTTTTGAAGCTTGTGTACATTTTCAGGACTGCGGGTTGTGGCAGGTGAAGAATGTTAATGAGGAAATCTTCTTGGAAGTTTGAAAGTTGTTCTGATGAGAGAAAGAAGGAGGTATTTGAAATTTTATTTAATATTCAAATGAAACCTGTTTTATGAGAAGAGAATATGGAGCTTTTTTAAAGAAAAATTGTAGATGTAAGTTGAAATGTCGTAATATGGATTCAAATAAAGGATTTTATTAATTATACAGGGATAATATTTGGTCACAGGCAATGAACACTACAAATTTATTTATAATAAAGAAACTATAAATAAATTTCAAAATATAATAGGTAATGAATGGGGAGAAAAAAAATATGTAATTTGCATAAATAACATAAAGTGGTTAACAATCTTAATTTATTAATATTAATCTTGATTTTGATATCTGACATAGGTACCAATGGAGAACTAAACTGGGGAGGAAACTGGATAAGTTTCATGGATACAATGCTGCAGTTTTCATTGGTAGGCAGGACCAGTAGAGAGCTGGCTTTACCTACGAGAATACTGCAAGTAACTATAGACCCCAGAAAGCACCTTCAATTCGCAGAAAATAGTGTTGGTAAGGCCAATAAAATACAATGACTAATGACCTCAATTTTCATTTGTAATTCAATAGTTGTTTTGAAATTGATATAAGTTCATTGCATTTTATTTGTTTTTTATTAATATTCAAATCCACAATATTTCTGAAGCAAAACTTACTTAAAGTTGATTTGATACGATTAGTTTTGTGCAATAGATATTCCAGTCCAATATGAAAAGGACATTGATGTGATACAATCGGGCGGAATAGAAATTAGAAATCTAAAAGTCAGCCTTGCTCCTCGAAGGCAACAAACTCAAGCACCTCCCAAATTGGAAAAATATATTTTCTTGCCATACTTTAAAGATGTAAGTTGTAAAATTAAATTTTATCTATAATTTAAGCTATTTTTTTAGTGTTATTTATGTTATTTAATTGGTGAATAAATATTGAAAGGGAATCAAGAAGGAAGATGGATTGGCGGCAGCTCTTCAAATAGTGTTAGAAAACTCAGGTGGTGCATTGAAATTAAAAATCATGGAGCTAGGAGGAGGGGAGAGTGAAGAGCCATTAGCGCCATTAATTTCTGAATTATTATCATCAGAGCCACAAATTACAGTAAATAATTATGAGTAATTTTCATAATTTAATGCAAGTATTTGAATTTAAAATGTGATTTTTATGGTTCAGGTCAGGAAAGACAATTACATTTAATCATATTAAGAAATCATAATCATAAAAAATCACAAGTTTCGTAATTGCTTCAAATATTTGGCACATAAACGGACTATGAGATGACTCATATTGGGCTTCCTAGACAGGAATACTCGCTCTGAGTTATCTCATAGATTTACAGTTAACACATCCATCACAATGCTAATCAATTAAAATATTCTCTTTAAAGAGGTTACATTTTCTTGTTATTTTTATCTGTACAGTCAACAGATAGATACAAAGTCACTTTTTATTTTTGCTTTTCATTGCCTTTTGTTCCAGGCAGAAATTAGTTTCGTGACACTCAGACCAGAACAGTATGCCGACCTAGAAAATTATAATGTTAATGTTGTAAAAAAGAATTACGCTGAAGCAGTGGACAGCAATCTGCATCTATTAGTTTGCAAGAGTGCATTATCTTTCAATGGGTTGCCTTCTGTTGTCAATTCTTTGAAGCCTGGTGCATTCCTACTAGTAGAGGATAGGCAGGAGATTAACTATGGCAATATGGTTGTGATATCCAAGTTTAGTTCTGATGGAAAAGGGCTTCTTCTTCTTAGAAAGGTGATATTGATTTTTGTATAACCATGTTTATTAAATAAAGAAAAGAAATGTTAATTTTTTTTTTCATTATTAGGCTACTAAATACATTCAACCCAAAGTAATTAAAATTACCAACCATAACTACAGCTGGGTGGAAACAGTAAAGAAGGGATTGAAGGACTGTGAAAATGGAGCCAAAGTACTATTAATTAATGAAGGTGAAGCAACAAGTGGTATAATTGGAATGATCAACTGCCTAAAGCAGGAACCTGGTGGTAACAATCTGAGGTAATGGAATACTACGACCACTGAAAATGACTTTGGGATTGAATAATGTTAATTGAGCACTAATTTTTTTTTGTTTTTTTAAGTGTAATCAGTACACTAGAAGTATCAGACTGATTACCTTAACAAAAAATTATATATATAGCCTAGTAAGATTTGTCGAAGGTACCTCGAGACGTTCCCGTGTTTCTCACTACTATGCCCAGTTAGGGTGGCTCTTTCCCTCCTTCAGAAGACAATACTTCCTTGCCACATTCCTTTACCAAATAATAAACAATCATCGCTCGTCCTATGTATACAATCTCCTCCAATTTAAATCATCTATCCACTCCCTCTCTACAAGATCTCGTTCTTCTGACCTTTACACTCCTTTTCATAGATTTGCTTCATTTCAACATTCCTTTATTGTCCGCTCCTCCACCTTTCGGAATTCCATCCCACTTAAAATCCACCATGCACCATTCTTTTCCACATTCGAAACCCTGTTATTCCAATTCCTTCTCACAATCCGATCAGACGCTGGTTAATTTTGTATTATGTAACAAGGATAATTTCTTTTTTTTCTCTCTCTCTCTCTTTTCATACACCATTATTTTATTCTATTTTTTGTTTATTATTTATAAATTGGAAAGATTCAGTAATAGATTCAGTATCACTTTTGTCAAAACACTGCATAAAAAAATAAGAGATCGTTTGTTGTTTTATCCATTTCTTTTTTTCTTTTTTTTTCCATCTACAAGATAGTGTATAATTTAGACATATTTCATTTCTTACATTCCTCAATTTATATGTATGTATACAATCTTATGTATACTATCTTAATCGCTGTGTTTTTTCTTTATAGTTTACAATACCATTGCGTACTATATAACATATATAAATAATTTATTTTATTTTAATGTTTTTTTTTAATTTGTTTTCAATTAAAATTAATTTAATGCCCCTTTCTAATTGTATTTATATAATTATCCTTATTTTTATCTCTTATGTCAAGATAATGCAATATTGTGATCCCATTGCTCATCTTCTCTCATTAATATATCTTTAATCTAAGTATATATTGTGTATGTTTTAGCTATTTGGGTTTTGACATAACTTGTCAATACTTTTTATTTACGTACTTTTGACATTTTTTTCTTATCTGGAGGTTTAACTTTTTCTTTCTATCCATGTAATTCTTTTTTTTTTTTTTCTTTCTTTTCTTTTCTTTTTGTTATTTTTTCTAGTACAATTATAAGTATAGTTGAGAAGATTTTATTTTATTTTTTAGTTGTTTACACACTAGTACTTAAGTTGTTGTATATATTGTTTGAATCTTTATTAAGTTATTTTTTGGCCAGATATGTATTTTTTCTTTTGTAAATGTTCATTATTGTTATTCTGAGGGGACATCCGTCCCAGAATAAAGTTTATTTTCTATTTCTATATAATATTATTAAATTATTGTTGAAGTTTTTTTGCTTCAGAATGTTTTATTCGAGATTCTGTTTGCTTTTTAGAGCTATGTTATATTTTTATTTTTTCACTTAAAATACAAATAAATCTATGAAAATTTCTTCTTGTAAAAATATAAAACCAAAAATATTGCAGATTCAATATGTTTTCTCTCATTTAACAAAGATCTACTAGATTAAAATTTTTATAACTCTTTTAGGTCTGTTTTTATTCAAGATCCCAAATCAAAAGAGTTTTCACTAACATCTACACCATATGCTCTTCAATTAAAAAAGGATCTTCTACAGAATGTTTTGAGCCCAGATGGAGATTGGGGAAGTTTCAGACATCTCAGGATTCCAAATCAAGACGAGACTGTAACTCAAACAGAACATGCTTTCGTAAATGCTGTAACAAGAGGTGATCTTTCTAGTCTAAGGTGGATTCAGGCTCCTGCATCCCCTGCTGGGTGAGTAATTTTTATTGCTTAAAGTGAACTAAAATCAATATGGAAGTTGATTATATATAATATTCACAATTTCATTTGGGTATAGAAAAGAGACAAATGGAGTAGGGTTGTGTACTGTTTATTATGCCCCACTCAACTTCAGAGATATCATGTTAGCTTCAGGGAAATTACCACCAGATGCCCTGCCTGGTGACCTAGCAGGACAAGTATGTTTTAATACAATTGTCATACCTTCTTTTTTCATATTAATATTGTAATCATTTAAATTCTTTTAGGAATGTGTTCTTGGTTTAGAATTTGCTGGAAGGAACTCCCGGGGAGAAAGGGTAATGGGAATTGTTGAAGCTAAAGGTCTTGCTATGTCAGTAACATGTGATCCACTCTTTACGTGGCCAGTTCCAGACAGCTGGAGCCTACAACAAGCTGCTACAGTGCCTATAGTCTTTGCTACGGTAACTTGTAACTGATTGTTTTTATTTCCTAAATTAAAACTCGCATAATGTATAAAATTAACTGTGATCAATCGTTCTATAGGCTTACTATTCGCTCATTGTCCGAGGTGGAATGAAGCCTGGTGAGAGTATTTTAATACATGCTGGAACAGGAGGTGTTGGCCAAGCAGCCATTCATATAGCTCTCCACATGGGATGCAAGGTCTTCACTACAGTTGGTACTCAGCAAAAAAGAGAGTTCATAAAAACTAATTTCCCAAAGGTATAAATTTGAAAACTGTTATTATAATTGTTGTATTAAATAATAATAATTTTTAAAAAATATGGTTTTATAGCTGGATGACAGATGCATTGGGAATTCAAGAGATACAAGCTTTGAGCAGCTGATTTTGTCTGAGACCAAAGGCAGGGGAGTAGACCTTGTATTGAATTCTCTTGCAGAAGACAAACTTCAAGCTTCTGTAAGATGCTTAGCTCAAGGAGGGAGATTTTTGGAAATAGGAAAACTTGATCTTTCTAATAACTCTCCTCTAGGTAAGACAAAAATTATAAGCAGCATATAAACTTTATAAAATTAGAATAGAAGTCAATAATATTTAATTTTCAGGAATGTCAATATTATTGAAAAATACCACAGTTCATGGGATTTTATTGGATGCATTGATGGGAAAAGGTTCACATAATCTGGAGAAAGTAGAGGTAGCTAAGTTGATGAGGGAAGGGATAAAATCAGGAGCAGTGAAACCTCTTCCTCACACTACATTTAACCGTGATGAGCTAGAACAGTCATTCAGGTAATCTTTAAGAATATATATAGGCTGGAATGTCAGGTCCATTTGCAATCGCACTAATATTCTCATTATATTTTTGCTTTCAATAGATTTATGGCTACTGGTAAACACATTGGAAAAGTATTGCTAAAAATCAGAGATGAAGAGCCAATTAAGAAATCATTGCCAAAGAAGGAAATTATTAATGCAATACCAAGAACTTATATGAACCAGGAGAAATCTTATGTGCTGATTGGTGAATAGAGGAGCTAAATTCTATTAATAAAAAATGTTTTTTTGAAATATTTAATTTATTTTAAAATCACTTCTCATATATGTAGGTGGCCTTGGAGGATTTGGCTTAGAACTTGCTAATTGGTTAATTACCCGAGGAGCAACCAAAATAGTCCTTGTTTCACGCTCAGGAGTAACAAATGGGTTTCAGTTCTTGTGTATTAAGAGGTGGGAACAGAAAGGTGTAAAAGTTCTAGTTTCAAAGACAGACTGTACTTGCCTAGATGGTGCAAAAAGCCTTATAAAAGAAGCTGAGAAACTTGGACCAGTTGGAGGAATTTTTAATCTTGCAGCTGTAATTATATAAATCTTTTAAAACCTAAACTTTATAATTATTACATCTTATTTATAGAACCATATCCGTAGGTTCTTAGAGACGCGTTTATGGAAAATCAGACTGAAGAAGATTTCAGAGCTGTATGCAGGGCTAAAGTTGATGCCACAGCTGCTCTTGACTTAATCAGTCGATCCTGTAAGCAACTGGAACACTTCGTGACATTTTCATCTGTGTCTTGTGGCCGTGGAAATCCAGGACAATCCAATTACGGCTTTGCCAATTCTGTAATGGAACGTATTTGTGAGTCTAGAAGAGTATTAGGACTTCCAGGAGTAAGTATTGATTTTTTTTCATAAATTGAATTTAAAATTGTTATTATAAAAAATTAATTATAACCGGTTCACCTGATTGCTATAGACTGCAATACAATGGGGAGCAGTTGGTGATGTTGGTCTAGTGATGGATAGTATGAAAGGAGGCAATGAAACTGTAGTTGGAGGTACATTACCACAAAGGATAACTTCTTGTTTGTCAACTTTGGATTACTTCCTTCAGCTACAAGACCCGGTATTAGCGTCCATGGTGCTAGCTGAGAAAGGAAAAGTTGGGCAAGATCCAGGTCAAGCCAGTCTTGTGAATGCCATTGCTAATATATTAGGTAAATTAAGTGTCCTTTACACAACATTATGACAACATTATAACCTTAAAAGATTTAATTAAATTATTATTAATTCTTTAAAGGCCTAAAAGATCCTGATAATTGTGGAAGCAAAAGTTTAGCTGAACTAGGAATGGATTCTCTCATGGGATCAGAAATTAAGCAAATCTTAGAGAGGAACTATGATCTAGTATTAAGTGCTCAAGAAATCAGAAATTTAACATTCCCCACATTAAAAAATTTATCATCAGGAGGAAGTCAGGATACGTCATCAGAGAAACAAGTACATTAACTATTTGATAAATTTCACTCCTGTTAAAAAAATATTATTTTGATTGGTTTGAAATAATTTAACTTACTTTACAGAATGGTGTAGTTTATAAAAACATACTTCCTATGGAAGCAGTCATTAAGCTTCAAACAAAATCCAAAACTGACACATCAATGCCAATTTTCTTCATTCACCCGATTGAAGGTGTCATTGATATGTTGAATGAAGTTGCAAGCCATGTACAAATGACTGTTTTTGGATTACAATGTGTGAAGAATGCTCCTCTTGCTTCAATTGAACAGTTAGCTGCATACTATCTCCAAGTAAAAGCTTTAAAAAAATAAGATTCATTCTAATGTTAAATCTGGGTAGTTTCATTCTTTAATATTTGGTAAATGTATCAAAAGTAGGTTAGATCTAAACCTAACAAATATATATATATTTAGTGAAATGTATACATTAAATTAACTACATAAACTGAATAATTAAGAACATTTAGTTGACAAATTTAACTTTATATTAACATGGTGTTACAGCATATTACTTCTTTGCAAAAAAATGGACCATATCTGATTGTTGGATACTCATTTGGAGCTGGTGTGGCATTTGAAATTGGTCTTCAACTTGAAAGCAGTGGCCAAAAGGTCACTCTTGTACTAATTGATGGGTCTCCATCTTTTGTAAGAAATCACATCAACAACTATAAGGAAACAAAAGGACTTGATAAAGACTTTGATGCCTTTAGGTTATCATATATCGCAATGCTTTTCAGCAATCAAGACTTTGCACAGGTATCAGCTTTAAATATTTATATAAATTTATGCAGTATGTGTTAAGTAATAGCATTAGTTTTATATAGTTTCATAAATAAAAATATAAATGCTTGCAAACACCAAAATCATGAATCATACTTTATTGGAGATGGAATTAAAATAACTATTATATTTAGCTGTGTGGTAAGAAATGACTATAACTGCTCCTTAAAGTCAGTAAAATTAGACTTTTAGAAATTTGCTACAATTAAACATTGTAAAGTAGAAGGTCATTTTATCACTTATATGACTTTGAAAAATAGTATGCTAGTTTTTAGCACCTATGCCACTTTACCCCATATTTTTTTTTTGTTCTTCCCTACCTCGCCTTTTAGGCTATACGGGATTTTCCCAGGCCGGGAGATGAGGTCGGGGAATTTAAAATCCCCTCCGGCACCGGGACGCGAACTCCTACTTTTTAAATCATCTTAAATCTCTGTTATCTGATTGCCAGGCAACTAGCGGTGCTGTGCACACACTTTAGCCCGTTCGGCCACCCCACCCCCACTTTACCCCATATGCCAGGAATGGCCAGGTAGGAGGAAAAAAGGTCCCTCAACACACGGGCGGATCTACGGGGAGGCTTTCGGGGTGAAGCCCCCCCAAAATGGTAAAATATAACCACGTTTTATCAAAAAAAATATTAAAAAAGTATCTCTTAAAGTATTATTGTTCATGTAATTATATTTAAAAGGGCTTTAGGAATCACTTAAACATCATTTCATATAGGTAGTTAGTTTCTTTCTTTTTTTCCAAAGTAATTATCGTTATTTTTATGAAAAAAATAACTTTCGGGCTGAAGCCCCCAAAAATAAATCCTGGATCCGCTAGTGCCTCAACCCAAGGTTTGGTATGGCAACCAATATAAAAAAAATATGAAATTTTTGGACCTTTTTTAAGTTATTGCTTTATAACTCCAAAATGGTGCTTTATAGAGAAAAGTTTTTCTTTTTAAATTCAGTCCAGGAAAATGGTTGAAATTGATGATCATAAAACAACAACTTTTAGTTACTTTGCCAAGGTGTGCAATATGGAAACAAATGCTCTAAATTAAAAATCTTGCAAACGAAAATTGTAGAACTTTAAATTTTATCTTTAGAGTGTAACTAATATTTTGAATCCAAATATTATACAATCTCTTGAGCGATTTAGTCACATCAGTCAGTCACTGTTCCCCTCACTACCTCATCTGTGCAAATTCTATATTCTTTCCTCGATGATCTATAAACTTGAAAATCCTCAAACTTACAGCTTTTAATCTGTAACTGATAGGAAAATTCCAAAAAGTAAACTTGTTAATGTTTAACTTTTGATATAAAAAAAAAACTACAACATCACAATGACAGACCTACCGTAAAATCTATAAGACTGTAAGATTTTTGAAGGTAGATTGTGAATTAATAGCAATACCTATTACCATTATATTATATCTGTGTAAAATATTTTTCTGGGAAAAAATTAATTTAATTGAAAATTAAATTAAAATTTAAAATTAATTGTAATAAAATATTAAATTTAAAACTCACTTATACTCTTTATAATATTTTAGCCCATTCTGTGTTAGTTTACTTATTCAGAACTATACTTTAAATGATACTGGATCATCATATATATAACAATATGATATAATTTAGGTTTTCCTTCTTGGATTGACTTCTGTAAAAATTCATGTGGATCACAATACAAATTTTCATACTAGACTTTTCTTGATTTCAGGAATAGTTTCCATTATTTCAATAACGGTTAGATTAAAAAGAAATGTTTGATTGAAATTATTCTTTCTTAGGTTCAAAAGGAAATGTTGGTCTTAGACACATGGAACTCCCGCTTAAAGCGCTGTGCTGAGATCATGTCAAATTTTTCTGAAGAGGAAATTCAAGAAGGGGCTTCTTCTTTTGGCAAAAAACTTAATGCGGCTTATGTTTATGAACCAAGATTTAAATTCAATGGAGAAATAATTTTGTTAAAAGCAGCTGAAAGTTTTGTAGACCTCGGGGAAGATTATGATCTCAAGAAGGTAAGATACCATTTAGAGAGGAAATAAATATATACTCCATGAATTCACTAATACTATAAGACACTGGTTTATTTTCAGCACTGCAACCAGAAAGTAAAGGTAAAAATAGTTCCTGGTGACCATCAAAAGGTTTTGGTAGGAAATTCGGCAAAACTAATTGCTAACACTGTGAACAAGTATGCAGAAGTTTTTTCAAAATAATTTATGATAGATATCTATCAATCATTTTAGAAATTATAATTATTTTAACTTAATTAAACTATTGTTATTTATTATACAGTGATATTTTATATGAATTGTAATGTTAATAATTTATTCTGTAAATATTGTATTGCTTTTTATAAATTATTATAGTAAATATATAAAATATAGCTTAAAGGCATCAATAAACTCCTTATGAAGTATCATTATATCAATTGAAAATACAGTTTATAGAACAGAGAATCCATCATTTCAACGAATAACTCTGAGGAAAACAACGATTTTTAAATGAATTACTACTTGCAATTTTAGAAACTATAATTTGATGTAATTATTGTGATTTGTCTTATTGTTATTATTTTGTATAAATTATAATTTAAAAAAAAATTATTGCATCCTCTTTCCTTCCTTTTAGCAATACGGGTTTTGACAACATTAACATTTTTAATTCCTTCAAGACGAATAGGCTTCTTGCTCCAGTTTTGCTTAATGCTGATATCCATTTCACTCCTTTCCAGGGTGGTCACAATTTACTGTCTTTCCTTTATCTGAAGACTTTCCATGAGCTGGTCTTGTTCCAAGATTAGAATTGGCTGAATCACTGCAATGTTCCACCCTTTAGACAAATTTTTCATTGAAGGGATAGTTATTTTTGGTCACCAGCTGTGCTGTGAGGAATTATTCTACTTAAGGCCATAGAGTTTGGCCCTTTGTGCCTCAAAGGACATGCATAACTATCGAAAATGGCGCCTTGGACAGGCATTAAATATGCGCCCCTTCGTAAATTATCTTAATATAAAAACCATATGCACTAATTAAAAAGAGTCATAAAACTTACAAAACATATTTATTTTTCTATTTTATCAATTCCAACTTCCTGGCCACCTGCAAAGGCAACATATCGATGATGTTTTCGAAATAAATTTGAACCATTTGATTTCCCTCTACACTGCTAGGTCATATCACTTTTCTTGATCAATTGTAGCCTTCAAATACGTAAGTACGAGTAATTATTTTAAATTACTGAAAGATCGTTCACAACTTGAGATGGATACTGCAATTGTAAGCAGAATTTGAATGGAAATGTCTGTGCACACTAGTTTGTCTCTTGCTCCTTCATGAAGCGCGAGCATCTATATCCAATCCAATTTTACATACTTTCCTTAGGAATTTTACTAGTAGAACGCCGCCCTGATTCCCTTTCGGTCGTTCATCACAACCCAGCAGGTAAAGGAATTGGGAGATTAGGAATGTAGGTATTTTTATTGATTTGGTTGGATTTGTTTGTTCAAAACTCCAAAGAACCAAACAGTAGAAAAATGTTTTTTTTTATTTAAACTAACATAAGAAAAATTAAGTTCCCTAAATTCTATTACTGTCTTTAAAAAAGAAGAAACTGCTTCGTTTCCCCCTACCTAGTTCCGGCCTACGCCAAAAAATGGGATATGGACGGACTAGTTTCAGGAAGCTGAATACGGCTTTAATTCCTTCATTTGCTTGTAAAAAGAGTTTATTGAAGTTTTCAACAAGTTTCCATTTTAGCACAGTAAACTTGTCATGAAAAGGGGGTCTGAGTTACATCGAATGGGGGTAGAAGTTTTCTTTTTTTTCTCCTGTATGGGATGTGATTGAGATGCAAAATCCATGTTTTCGACCTCGGTGCCCTCTCGGATCACTTTGAAAATCTCAAAAACTGTTATATTTTCTCCCTTTTTCGGGTTTTCCTCATTTTGAATATGAAGAGGCACGTTTTCGACAAAAAAAAAAAAAAAACACTTTAAACTTTTTTAACCAGATTAAATATACTACGATTTAGTCCAGTAAGTTTAATCATTTTTGAGATATAGGTTTTCAAAATTTTGGAAATTTTTCTAACTTGAAAATTTTAAGCTATTTTTGATGTTTGATCATATACAATTGTGGTTATATATTCAATTACCTGTCTGATATGATTCAGTGAAGTAAATTTTTATTCATTTTAACATTTTGAGGGAGGGAGGGAGAGCTTTGGTGGGAAGTTGACAGAGAAAGGGAGATCACTTTTCATCACCTGAAAACTTGAAATTGAAATAATAAATTTATTTAACAAACATTTCCATCATGTGCATACAAAAATTGTAAATGAGGTGAATGAAATTATCGAAACTTGAAAATGTTGGGCTAATTTTCATGTTTAAGTCTTTAATAGCTCGTCTTATAAGAGTTAGTGAAGTAAACATTTATTTTAATGATTATTTTGAAGAAATAGGATACGTGGATATGGGAATGGCTATAAATAATAAGAAATAGAAACCCTTTGTTGATTTATGTGAATTTAATTTAAGCTAATTGATAAAATAAGTGAGCCAGAATGAACTAAGTCATTTATTGTGTTCGATCCTCTTCTCAGTAAAGCAGCGGGTAACCAAAAAAGGACTTGCCGCACATTTCAAAACTCTTCTTGTCTCAGAAATTTAATTTCAGAGATCAGTGTTAGATCTGGACAAATCATCGCAAAAGATGTAAATATATACAAAAGAGAAGAAGACAAACCGCTAGAAAAAAAAAAGTTTGCGTTCACTGTTGAAAAGATCCAAAACTTTTTAAAATATAATAGTTCTGCGCATCCGCCAGCCTTTAGTTAACGTATTTGACATTGCTCTCTATTAAGTGACTTTTTAAACTGTGAGCTATTGTTATTCTTGAGTGAAAAACAACGTAACATTGACATTAACAATCAACCTTGAACAGGGAAATAAATAAGATGAGTAATCACTTGTTGACTACCACAGGCAGATTTACGGGGAGGGCTTTCGGGCTTAAATCCCCCCCCCCAAATGGTAAAATGTAACCATGTTTTATGGTAAAAAATATTAAAAAATTATATCTTAAAGTATTATTGCTCGTTTAATTACATTTAATAGGACTTCAAGAATCACTTAAACACCATTTCATATAGGTAGTTAGTATCTTTCTGTTTTTCCAAAGTAATTATCGTTATGTATATGAAAAAAAAAGCTTCCGGGCTGAAGCCCCCTCTCCCAAAAAAAAATTAAATCCTGGATCCGCTAGTGTTGACTACCGCTACAATGAACACTGTAAACAGACTAAGTATAGAGATAGTCAAAGGACGGCCAAACGCCGTTCAGTGGCTATTCTGCATCCGCCTGGGGTGGTCGTTGTTCTTCTCTGTTCTTTCAAGTTTAAGTAGATATACGTAGTACGTACTTGTAGATATATATACGTACTTGTACAAACATTATTTTTTTACTAGAGAAATAATATTTTTCTCTCATCTTTTAATAAGAAATGCGACATTTTCTCATGGTGATGTCGAGAAAAGCAAAACCAGCGAAAAAGTTTAGAAACCACAAAAAGTTCATCTGTAAAGCAAAAGACCAAACGTTCAAACAGAGGCACAGACGGATCTACAGGGGGAGAAGGGCTTTCAGACTGATATCCTCCCCTCCCTAAATGGTAAAATATAACCATGTTTTATGAAAAAAATTATCTTTGAAAGTATTATTGTTTATCTAATAACATTTAATAGGACTTAAAAATCACTTAAATACCATTTCATATAGGTGATTAGTTTCTTCCTTCTTCCGAAGTAATTATCCTAATATATACAACCCTCCCCCCCAAAAAAAAAACTTTCGGGCTGAAGCCCTCCCCAAAAATTAAATCCTAGATCCGTTAGTGAACAGAGGCACACCACCAGCTATATCTGAAAACTCAACACCGCTATAGATATGACAAACCAACCGGGTACTTCAACTCAAGTCACGGGAGAAGAATCGCCATTCTTTACCCCAAATTCCTACCAAGTGTTATCGAACACCAATACAGAAGAGATGGAAGCAGCACCCATCCCCAAAGGAGTCTAGCCTCCACCAATTATCAGAAAAAATATAAACAATTTTCAACTTCTGTGCCAACAATTAAATAAAATAGTTGGTACAGAAAACTCAGCTAACTATAAGGGGTGTGAGTGAAACCTATAAAGCTTTAAAATCAACTATGCAGACAGCTATCAGACTAGAAGAAACATCTATACCTCCTAGATCAACCAGGCAACCATCTAGAATTGCAGATACAAGACATTTGTCCTACGCCAATATGTCAGGAGATATAGTACAGTTAGGAGACAGCCTCCACAGTCTCAGGCCTTGTCTTTGACATAATCTCAACTACCTACCCAAAACCCCATTCATCACCAAATCTCCTATATATCTCCTCCTAACAACGCTAATGACCTCACCAGCCTTCTTACATCAATTCTCTCTGAGTTCAGATAGCTCATCATTCTACTTACAAAGGTTGCGTCAAATCTAATTCCATCTCAAAAATATCCTTAAATAACCACAAATAAATCTCTCTCCATTCTCCTTTGGGATGCGAATGGCGTTCGAAACCACACTATCGAACTAATAATTTTACTAAATGACAAAGATATTGACATAGCCTTAATAACCGAACCACATTGACCAGTAAACGACTATTTAACATACCTAATTACCAAATCTATCTAACTGACCACCCAGATGGAACAGTCCAGGCCGGTACTGCTGTCATCATCCATCAATCCATTTTCCATCACTTGGCCCCCTTACCTATCCTTGATTTCCTATATACCACTGCAATTACAATTAAAACCCATTTCTTTCCCTTAACAATTGTCGCAGCATATTCCCCACCTAAAAAAACCATTTTCGAATCCCAACTCAAATCTGACCTTAATTCCTTAGAACACCATTTCCTTCTAGGTGCAGACCTAAACACGAAACATCAGCAATGGGGAGCTAGAACCACGAATTCCCGAGGGCGAACATTGTGGTCTGCACTTAATTTCAATCATAGCACAATCCCCCCACCCAACACTTCCACACACTGGCCAACTGATCCTAACCGCAATCCCGACCTCTTAGTCTTTTTCATCGACAAAGGTCTAGGGCCACTGAATTATTCCGTTTCAGAGATCGACGATCTTTCCTCTGACCATATTCCCCTTATCCTAAACCTTTCCGCATCACTAATTCCCAAAGCACCCCCACCTCCATTCATAAAAGACCCAGTTAACTGGAACATTTTCCAGCAAATAATAAACGAAACAATTGACCTCAGAGTATCTCTAAAAACTCCACAAGACCTAAACGACCGGAAATTGTACAAACACCTTTCCAAACTGTTAAGAAAGAAATTGGATACCTTCAGATCCCAATACTTTAATTCCTACCTCTCCTCGCTCTCTAATTCTGATAACTCCCTGAGGAAAGTAAAACAAAAAATCCTAAAATACCATACCATTTCCCATTCCCTCCGGTGTGACGACGGCTCCTGGGCTTCGTCCGAAAAGAGCAAGGCAGAGGAATTTGCTTAGCACCTTTCCAAAACATTTATTCTCCATCCTGAACACAATCCCTCTCAGACTACCAAAGTTAAGGGATTCCTTTTTTCCCCCATTCCTCTCTTCTTACCTTCTAAAACTGTTAACCTATCTGAGGTCAAATTCCTTATAAATAAACTGAAACCCAGAAAATCCCCTCACTTCCCAGATCCTTCGACAAATTCCAAAAAAAAGCTATTATATTCCTTACCTGCCTATACAATAGCATCCTTCGTACAACCTCTCATTCCTTTGCTATGGAAACACTCCATAATCATCCTTTTCCCTAAAACTAGCAATCCTGTCAATGAAACTTCGTCTTACAGACCAATAAGCCTTCTACCGATCCTTTCATAAATCTTTGAAAAAATCCTTTTCAAACTAATTCTACCTGAGAAAGAAGTCATGAAAAACTGATAAGTAATGCTTTATTTGTTATCTTCATGATGATATCATCAACTGTTTTCAATAATGCCAATAAAGCAACGGATGAAGACATGATGGAAGTTGTATCACCGTGCTTACAAAATGGCGATCGATACCCGAAAGGCCAGTCGAAGAAAATATAATACTATATTAGTTGCAGCTATATTTGATGTCTATATTTTGTAATTCATTAATATATAATTAAATAAATAAATCATATTTCAACAAAGACGTTTCTTTTTATTTATCCTTGTAAAACAATAAATATTTTTGTTTTATAAATATGTATGTATTGCAGATAGTTTTAAATATCTTTTGGATGACTTTTAGAGAACTTTTTTCAAATATCTTAAAGTGGGATAAAACGGCGCATAAGCCATCTTATTGACACCTTTCGGTATATCTTTTAGACATATCATATCTTATTCAAGACATCTATTAGCTATCTTTAAGATAAAATTCTGCTGCTTGAGTTCAACACAATTTAATATCACCACATTTCTTTCGTCCAGTATTCGTTCATGATAAAGAATAACCAGGTTGCACTAAGATCAACAATTACGTCGGCAGAGCATCATTCTTTTAGGTTACTTTTACGAATGGAAGATTGCTAAATAACCAGCTGTCGCCTAAAAAGAGAAAATACTTCCTACTATCCAAAGGAGCAGACAACGGAAGGTTGAGGGGGGGTGATCATCCCTTCCCCCCAATAAAAATGTTGAGGGAGCGAGAATATCGTTTTGCCCCCCTCCCAAATAGTTTAAAATAATTAAAATTGATAATAAATAAGATACACGAATGAATAAAATATGTATAAACTAGCATCGATTAAGAAAATTCGACTAGCTGGCTGCTAATGCCTACAAGTAAGTACGTAGCTTCTTCTTCTTCTTTAACTTTCTCCTTGTTGAGTAAAGTCAATCCAATCCAGTACCAGCTCTCTGCTCCATACAGCAGAATAGGCATATGTACGGCCTTGAAAATGTGGAGCTTGGCGTCTTTATTGACCTCTCTCTTTCCTACGATTGTGTTGCTAATGGAATTTTATATACTATTAGCTTTTCCTATCCTGTGGGCTTTTCCATTTCCGCTGATCACACTTCCAAGGTATCAGAACTCATTTATGTCTTCAAGCTCCTCGTCTCTGCACGTTATGTGGATTTGTTCGGGCTATCATCCTACTTATAGGATTTTGCTTTTTCTGGCATTAATATTCACGCCCTTCTGTCCCAGTTCTGCTTATTACTCTATTAGGACTTGCTGGAGGTTATGTGTTGAGTCAGCAATGAGGAATACGTCATTGGTATATGAACAATATGATACCATTACTTGTGCCAGTATAGTTCTCATATTCCAATGACCAATCACTGCTCTTCCCTTGTAATTCTTTATTATTTGGTCCATAAAGATGATGAACAGAAGAGGACTGAGGTTATACCCCTATTTTACTCCATTTTACATCGGGAAGCTTCTCGATTTCTGGACTGGACTCTAGAGACTAGAGACTAGAGACACTAGAGATCTCCAAACTACGGCCCGCGGACCGGATCCGGCCCACAAGCACTGCCCATCCGGCCCGCGAAAGATTATTTGATCACATGGTAAAGTTTTAAAAATTATTTGAAAAATATGAAATTTAGGCAATTACTCATACAAGAGGTTACTACAACATTTATGAAATGTTTTTTTTCTCTTAGAAACCTCATTTCACAACTGAATCGTCATTTGTAGAACAAGATATTTTTTTATCACAAGCCGCGGCCCGCGGGCCATAGATGGAGGTCTCGATGGAGTCCAATAAGTTTGGAGACTGCTTCTCTACTCCATCGCGGAGGACAAAATCCTTCATTGGACAAGAATAACTACCTGTAATACGTAGCCTTCGTGAAGGTTGATCATTTCCACCTCCACCAATGAATTAGCAGAGAGAAAAACTTGAGAAGAAGTGATAGCAGTAGCAAGATCCATCTACCAAAATCTGTGTTGCCGAAAGGCAAAAGCGGAAGGGAATAAAAAATGCCGTTTAATTAGCAAACTTGTAAAGGAGGCTTTGACAACCCACAATACGTTTTGAATCGAATCTCCTCGAAGTGCTCATTATTTTTAAATATCAGGACATCACAAAAAACATGTCTTTGTTCCCCACATTTGGTTTTTTCGATGATAAGAATTTAAACAAGTGAGAGGTTAAATATTTATATCCAAATCAGGTCCTTTAAAAATTTTGCTGGTTCTAGAGGTATGACTTCATTTTAATATAGGTGAAGCTCTAAGTGAAGTTTATAGTGACAATTGTATAGATTAGAAGATTAGAGATCTTACCACTCAGATAGTTTCTATAGCTATGTTTATAATATATATTATATAAAATAAAAATAATTAGTTATAAAAATATCTTCCTCTTTCCTCTCATGCTCCCCTTCCTTCCCGGCAGATTTCACTACCCTCAATAATACTTAAATCCAATATTTTCTACTTACCTACGTATTTTATCAGCATGATCACTACTTTAGACTATTATAAACGGATTTCACTTTAAATTATGACTCAAAATTAAATATATTGCAGCAAAGAAGCTAAATTATTTTCTCAGAAAATACAACTTCCTTGTTTATGCTGGTTGTTTGTTTACACGAGGTTACATGCTGCAGGTTAACCTATTCTGCAATTGTGATAATTATTTAAATAGTCGTTTTATGATGAATTATTCTCCTTATATGTTGTATTTAATTATTTTAAAACATATTTGAATTAAATGTTATGTTCAGTAAATTTATGACAACGATCAATTAAGTTAATTATCTATGAGTAGCAAACATAAGTAAGTTTTCTATTATATTTATAAATTTTAGTTTTAATCTATGTATTATAATACAAAGTGACTTGCACAGGCATAAGAAATATGAAGAAAAGGAGGAGAGAAGAAAGAAACACAAATCTCGGTACTCAGATGACTCAGAGGATGAAGGGGAAAGAAAAAGTTCCTCATCAAGGCATCAGTACAAGAAGAAAAAAAGTGACCACAGTCATAAGCATAAAAAAGAAAAGAAAAATAAATCGAAAAGGTATTTTGTTGCTAAGGTGTTATTGTATCATTTAATGTTAGAGTAGCTCTGTTTTGAAGCTGTATGGTTTATTTATTTTTAATAATTCTGAATTATATTTAATTAATTTTCTGGAAGCACAATCTAAATATTCTGGAATAATTTAAACAATACCTCTAAGCTTAAAATTTGTTGAATTGATTGTATAATCAGTGCTGGATTTGAGTTATGCAGAAAGTGTATTGAAAGTAAACTGGTACCTTTTTGTTTTAGTAATACTTGTTTACAATAATGTAAAACCATTGGATATTAAATAGTGAATTTCTGTAGTAGTATGAATTGAAACTGTTAAAGATAATGATTTCGATGTGCCAGCAGGCTTTTAGGTTGGGAATATAACACTTATTCTGAATGATTATTAGATTTAGGTTACGGTAATGTTAGGCTATCTGATGTAAGCCTTAATCCCCACCACTTTATTTGCTAGAAAATAATGATAATAGCAGCACTAATTGACTTAAACGTAATTCTAGAGTATATATTAACGTTCTTTAATTCTTTATCGAAATATTTGTTGGTAAATTTACTTCGAACGAAATAGATATATTGTATAAGTAACCGTAGTGTGTTATATACCTATATCTTAATTTTATTTTGATAGTTTTTATTTAGTCTCTTCTAACAATATGGATGTGTTAATTAATGATTATTAATTTTATAATAGATCAATTCAATGCATATAGTAATTACCCAATTAATAATTCATTAGATTTTGAATTTATTGCTCTTCCATCTATTTTGTTTTATCTGTTCTCTTATTGAACTAATTACATTTAATAATATAAAATCTATAAATTAGTTACTAACAAAGTTAAAAATTATGGTGAAATCGATTATATAGTTGTAATATTTTGTCAAAAATATTTGAGCCTATTATTGTTATGGGGGCCATTCCATGCCAAAGTTTAATTTGAGACCCACCCCTCACAGTTTTTAATTTAAAATATTATATATCAAGCTGATGTAAACATATTGGAGAAAATATCAAATTTTGCTGTATTATAACAAGTAGTTTTATGATCATTTTAAGTTTTAACAGAATTAAACTTTTAAGGGAAATCAATAATTATTGATCTGAAGCCTTTTAAATGTGTTCATTTTTCTTCAATTGTTTTAGAGAATCAAATTATACTATCTATATAATTATTGGCTTTATGATCTTTCATTTCATTCTTTCATTTATCTTCATTGTTATCTATCATGGTTATTTGATATGATCAATACTCATTGTTTCAGTCTTACATTAAAAAAATAATTTCATTTTGTAGCTATTACACCTGTTTTTAAACTGAAACATTTTGATTTGGATATGAATAATCACCTACACCCTGTTCTATGTTCAAATTATGTAATTTTTAACCAATAGTTTAGATTTCAAACATCTCATTTCTTTACCCACCAGTTTCATTTTGCTGTGGAGCAAGAAATATACTTCAGAGCATTCGTTTTTTACATTAAACAAACTTTGGATCATTATACTTTCTATAATCCTTTCTTACACCAATGAAAGAACCTTCACAGTAAATAATGATGTTGCTTATACAACCCTCATTTCTTAGCCTCCCTGTGTCTCCTAACAGCGGTTTCCAGAAGGAAGTTTCATGGCACAAGTTGTGCCATGAAAATTTTTGAGGGGGCACATGTTGACTGGGTTTTGATTTTTTGAGGGGGGCACATTTCGATGGAGCTATAAATTTCCATAGTGAAAAGTTTGAAACCAAAGAACTAGAAGGAAACATGGGACAGACCACACCAAGCATAATTTTATATGATCTACGAATTGTCTAATCCTACTTTTGCTTGCACTGTTTTTAAGAAGAGGAATGAAATACAATTTTTGGAAAGGAGAGGATGATTCATGCTCCATCAACCTTGGAGGGTTCCACATATGGTTTTTGCAGTCTCCAGGATAGCTTTTTTCATTTCTGCCCATTTGCTGTTCACATTTACATCCATTGTGCAGTTCTGGAGTTTCTGAGTCAGGAGTTTGACATACTCTATTTTCTTCTCTGGTCTATTTAACTTAGAAATATCTATTTTCTTGTATTTCTTCTCAAAATTTTTCCTAGGTTGGAGGATCTGAGTGTCTCCAATCAAGAGATAATGGTCTGACCCTATTTCTTGCCCCTCTTATTAGAGGTGGGCGTTCCTGCTACTTTTGAAAAACGTAAATGAACTGTTCGTTGACAAAAAACAACAGTTCTTAAGAACTGTTGAAAAAAAATAGTTCATAGAACAACTCATTGATTCATGGTGTAAGACCTATTCGTTTGATAACAGTCTTATTCGTTTTAAAACAGATTCAATTCATTTAATGACAAGTTTGGAAATGAATGAAATGTTTTATGTATTATGTTTGGCATTGTTCGAGCTTGAAATTGGTAATCTTTTAATTTATTTTTAATATTAACCGAATGCTTAATCTTAAAAATTACTTTTTAACTAATTAAAACTGAAAATTATTTTTTACGCATAGAACATTTTTTATTTTAATAATTTTAACTTTCTTGTATTAATCTGGTGGTTGTGATTTTGGGCAAGTTCCTAAACTCTCAACGGTGAGCTTATTGATGACATCCTTTCACCCAGCGTAAAGATGGATCCGGTGCTATCTATGAGCTTTGTGCTGAGCTTAGGAATTTTTCCTTTTACAAACAAATTTGTTATAAACGTTTTGCCATATTTCTTTATCAAGTGTTGTTCTTAAATTGAAATTACGATGCTTGGTCAGTATAAGTCTTTTAACTGTCATTCAAAAATGTTTTCAACTGTTTGCCTTTATCAATTTTTATAGAACCTAATAGTGTTTATAATTGTGTATTAATGGTTGACTCCAGTGAATAATTGAAGAGAACTGTTTTTTGTTTTTTTTACTGATCACCCCAACCATTCTTCCCTTCAATAATAGTATTTAATTTTATTTATGTACTTAAATTGATTGATCTATATAGATTGATAATATACATCTAAAACATAAACTAATTTTGCCTACAAATATGCTTAAGTTAATTTAGTAATGTAGTAACTATAATGAAAGTTTTTATATATTCCTAGCCTTCATTAATAATGGGAGCTAAAAATTACATCCCTAAACATAACAGTGGAAACATGTCTTATAAAAAAAACTGTTGGGTTATTTTCATGATGAACTGATAGGTTAGTTGGAAAACAGAAAGAGCTTCTGTTTTGTTTAGAAAAAAAACGAAACGAAAAACAGATCAAACAGCAACTCGACGAGTGGCAAATGGATGAACTAAAAAAAAACAACTGTTGTTATCCGTTTGGAAGAACAGTTCATTCATTTGAGATCAAGAACTGTTCTTTTCAAACGTTTGGTGTTTTCTCTCCCATTTCTACCTCTTATGACTTTTACATCTCTAAAATATCTTCTGATGTTTTTGCTGTATATAAAATAATCTATAATGCTACTTGCATTTCTTTCCTCAGCAGAAAATGTGATCTTATTGACTAGTTTATGTGGTAACATGGAGTTTCCGATAAGAAGATCATGATCTATGGAAAGCTCTATGAGCCTCTGACCATTTCTATTCCTGGTATGCTCACCTCCATGTAGTCCTATTACTTCGTGTGCTCTAGCATGGTCCCTTCCAGTCCTTGCGTTTAGGTCACCCATTATAATAATGGCTCTGTTTTGGTTTTGACCTCTTATGATTTCTCTTTCTAGATCCGCATAGAATTGTTTCCTATCTAGAACATCGCCATCCTCGGTTGGGGCGTATACTTGCACAACACTTACTTTTACTATTGATAATTTCATGTTTGCCACTATTATAAATATTACTATTGTAAATGCAAAGTTATTTTTAAAAAATATAATTAATAAGTAAATGAATTGAATATGCCGCTACTCTCAATAAAATGATAATCTCCACTGCTGTACTACAAACCTGAAAACTGACATAAACAGGATTAAAAAGATTGATATCATCATTCAAGGAATAAAACAAAATTGTTAAGAAAATGAGAAAGTGTAGAGTTAAATGAGCTAAATGTAAAATGAGAAAACATTTTCTTAACAATTTTGTTTTATTCCTTGAATGATGATATCAATCTTTTTAATCCTGTTTATGTCAGTTTTCAGGTTTGTAGTACAGCAGTGGAGATTATCATTTTATTGAGAGTAGCTGCATATTCAATTCATTTACTTATTAATTATATTTTTAAAAAATAACTTATGCATTTACAAGTTCACTTTATCATATTACATATTTATTTGTTTTCTTTTACTAGCTTCTGATGTTATTACCATTGTCTTATCTTTTTTACTAATTGAGCAAGTCTCTTAACTCAGCACAGATACGATGTCATTGTTTTGCTCAGTTTAGAGATTGATCTGATACCAATCATGAGCTCTGTATTAAGTTTAGGAACTTGTCTATTGTGTAATATTTGAATTCTATTTACTTTGTTATTCTTACTAAGTTAAATCTTACATTTATATTAATTTTCGTTTGCTCATTCTATATATTTATTTGTTTAAAAGGTCTGAAAGTTCAGATTCAAGTACCAGTTCTGATTCATCATCTGACAATTCAGTAAAACTTTTAAAAAGGTTACATGATAAGCATGAAAAAATGATTCAACAAAAAAAGAAAGAAAAAGAACTGATGAAGGTAAATGAGACTCCAGAAGAAAAAAGGATTAGGCGACTTTTGAAAAAAGAAGCAAAAGAAAGAAAAAGGAAACAACGTATGGGATGGGACAAAGATTATTTACACTATACTAATACTGACAATCCATTTGGTGATGCAAACTTGCTTTCCACTTTTGTTTGGTCAAAAAAACTAGCAAAAGATGGACTCACAGACGTATCCCGTGAAGAATTAGAGAGGATTAATAGAATAAAACAAGAGGAGAATAAAATAGAATTAGAAAAGGTAACAGCATATTGTAAAGTTATTATTCTTAATAATTTAGTTTTAAATTATGAGATATTTAATATTACATTACTTTCCTTATTTAATAAAGAAATATGCTGTTATGTTATGTTTTTCTGTAATTTTAGGTTAAAAAGAGACGACAAGAGAGAGAACAAGAAAGGCAAGAACGGGAAGAAGCCATGATGAGATTGCAGCGCGATAAGGAAGCTGAACAGTTTGAGGCATGGGCAACGCAGGAAGATCAGTTTCATCTTGAGCAAGCAAGGCTGAGATCAAGGATCAGGATAGCTGATGCCAGAGGTTATTATTAAAAAAAAATAGTGATTAAAGAATTTACAACTGTCCAAGGTCAATTATTGTCTTGCAATTAATGTTAATAATTATTTTCAAAGATTAGTACCATCATATCTGAATAATTTTGGTACCTATTTGTGCCCTGTTTACTCTAACACAACTTGGCTTAAAAATTTTACTTCGAAATAACTAATTAAATTGAATTTTTTGAGTAAAAACGAACTGCCATCCCTTCCCTTTAATTCTTAATGGCTAAACCAACAAATACAGAGGAAGTTCAGTTAATCAAACATGGATTTCTAATATTGTTTTCTTTTTCTTCCCTTCCTCGCCTTTCAGAATATACAGGGTTTTGCCTGGAACAGAAGAAAGGGTGGGAGATTAATGCCAGAGTTAAAAGTGCCCTTGGAATTGGAACTTACACTTGCGAATTTCAGTCTCTTAAAGGTTGCGCAGGATAACGTGGGTTTTTCAGGTGCGTTAGCCTGCTAGGCCATTCTACTTCACATTTCTATTATTAGTAACAATTATTACTATATTAGTGACTGAGAAGGGAGCGGGGTAGCTTAGTGGGTATGGCTCTGACTTTCTTTGCTCAGGTCATCATTGGAATCAGGGTTCGTGTCTGGATAAGTAATTATTTTTAACATCAGTTGTCGATCAACCTTCGTATCAGGAGATACTGCTGGGGCATACCCAATCCCTATAAAGTGGGTATCTTATTTGAAAAATCTGATGTGGTGCGAGCATCACACAATTTCCACTTACCATACGATTTTTTATATCATTTTACAATGTGAAATGGTTAATTATTATCAAATAAAAAAAAAATTAAGGTATTTTAGAGGAAGAAATTTTGAAAATTGTGTGTTTAAATTCTGTTAGAAAACATCAATGAGAATAAGACCCACATTTTTTTAAAACCGCTTATTTTACACTCATATAATGAATTTAATCAAAATTGATGAAGCCATTTTAAAAACAAATGGGTATGCACCCCTTGCATGGGCAATGATATTGTGGAATAATTCTTTAATTAATACATAAATAATAAGACAACTTTTATTATTTTTTTAAAGTCATTTCTGAGATTAGTTGCATTGATCTCTCAGAAATTTCGCTTTCATTGTTATTTAAAAAACAAGTTATTATATTTATTTTGTAATTTCAAAGATTAGATTTTTAAATTTAATGTAGAACATAAAATTGATAATTACATACAGTTGATAGTTAAGATTTTTAAAATCCATAAACTGGATATAATATTCACCAATTTGTGCACTAAGCCAGCTTAAACAGCTGGAGGCAATTCTACTTAAAACTATTATGTTACTCTGATGGTTTAGTTTATTAATTAATTAAGTAATCTTCATATCAAAATTATGTATAGGTTGATTCGACAGGAATGGGCCAAACTCCAGGAGTGGATTACTCACAGGAAAATAAAATTCATATGCTCTTATCTGATTTTCATTTTTTAAAAAATTTATTGCCTAATTACAAAAAAAAAAAATTTCACATCATTAGTACACCTGGAGACAGATGTGTTGAGGTGCATCAAGCTTGGGCGACTACGTTGGGCTGGCCATGTGGCCAGAATGCCAGAAGAGGAAGTCCCAAGGAAGTTTCTTGAAGGGAAGCGCAGGATAAGAGGGAAAGGCAGACCAAATCTAAGATAGAAGGACGCCATCATCCGGTACGCCAGAGAAGTATTACATACCCGCAACTGGTGAGTGACTGCGCAAGACAGAGCCATCTGACGTAGGCTCATTGAGGCGGCCAAGGACCACACCGGTCTGTAGTGCCATGGAATTAGTTAGTTAGGTTGTTTTTATAATTTTTTTGCAATTGCAGTTCAACTGCTGCTAAGAATATCAGCTGCAGTTGTCTTATCACAGATATTCTGCTATAAAGGGATTTATCAGAGTTTTCAACAAACTGTCCGAGAGCAGAACACTACTCAGTGCTATAACATCTGAAAGAGCCATCAAAATTTAGAAGTAGAAAATATTCTTAATTTAGTAGAAGATCAAACGATCAGCTCATGAAAGCAGAACAGCTATTAGAGATTCCGTGAACAAGAGTTATAAACACTCTTCACGAGCAAGTGTTATATATACATACCATGTACAGAGAGTGCAACACCTGCAACCTGCAGATTATTCTTACCATATAGAATTTTGTCGTTAGATAAATGACAATCCTAATATTGTATCGCCCTTACTATTTATGAATGAAGGAACATTTACCTGTGATGGCATTAATAACGCTCACAACTCCCATGTGTGGGCCGACAAAAATTCCTATGCAAAAGCCAAAAGCAATTTTCAACAAAATTTCAATAAATTTGTGGGGTGGCATTGTCTATGGTTATTTAATTGGTTGTTTCATTTTAGAAAATGGCCTCATAGGAGAATACTACTTAGCTTTTTATGATTTTAATTACAAGGATTGTTCGAGGGTGTTCCTCTAAATAGCAGAATCCAAATTTCACTTTCAAGTGAATGATGGAGCTTCTACTTATGAGACTTGTCAGTTGAGGCAGCATTTTATGAAAGGTTTCCAGATCATTGGATTGGTCACAGTGATAAAATTAGTTAGCCTCCAAACTCTACAGTCTTCACAGTACTGGATTATTGTAGATGGGGGTGGTTCAAATATGAATTATACAAAGTTAAATAGACAATCGGGATGGTTGATTCCAACATATTAAAAATGCTGCAGACATTATTAAAGAAAGATATGAAACAATTAGGAGAGCAACTATCGCCTTTCAAAGACGAAACCTAAAATCTTATCTAATTTAGAAATCAATGGTCGTATTTTCCAACATTTATTACTATAATGCTTTGATAATCTAAATGATAATATATATATATATGCAATATTGTTTATTTGTAATTAGCCAATACAATTTAAACAAATGAAAATCAGATAAGAACATATGAGTTTTTTAAAAATTATTTTCCTGTGTCCAATCCACCTCAAGTTTGGTCCGTTCCTCCCGATTCACCCAGTATGTATGTAATACTGATATCATAATGCTATTTTTGTTATGTTTTTTCTTCAGCAAAACCTATTGATCTTCTTGCAAAATATATCAATTCAGAAGAAGAAGTGGATGCTGTTGAGATGCATGAACCATATACTTATCTTAATGGTCTATCAATTAAAGACCTTGAAGACCTCGTTGAAGATATTAAGGTATTCTTTTTAATGAGTTTTTTAATACTCACAAGGAGAGGTCACAGTCTGTGGGTTACCTATTTCAACCATTTTTTTTTTCTTTTTTATTATCATCTAAAAATATTGTCCACATGTCCCAGCATTCATTCCAATGGGTCTTATGAACTGAGAAAAAGATTACTTTGTACAATTTAAAAAAAATATATTTGTTATTATCCTTTGTCCGGGTTTGTATATTAGTATATACAAAAAAATGCAGTAACTACAGTATATATTAATATATAGTATTAATATAGTATATAATATAATATACATATAATATATAATAATAATAATATATATATAATATACTATATAATATAGTATCAGGATGGATCTTTGCTTCTTCCATAGCCTCATATAACATGGATCTGTAGGTCATGTCATGTGCTTCATCAATCTGCCTGAGTGCAAAGATATGGTCAATAGTTGATCTATTTCTTTGAAAACCACATTGGTATTCGCCAACTGCCCTTTCATAATATGGCACAAGTCGATTGTAAGTTATACTGCAAAAATTGTATATGTAACATTAAGCAGTGTGAGTTACTCTGTAGTTGCTGCATTTTTTTAAATCACCTTTTTTGGGTACCTCTCTGGTTATTCCACAGTATTATAAGGAAGCAGGCCAAGTCTCAAGTTATGTGGGTCATAGAGCTGATAGAAAAAAAAGAAGAATTATAAAGCACAGTTTATGAAATTATAAATATACATATAGGCCTAGATTTATTATATTTTATTTACATAGCCTCTCAGAAATCCTTTATATATTCTTAAGATACATTAAATATTATTCTTTATATCTATATACTTACTCTAATATTGGCCGACCTTGACGGCGATTTTAGTGCTTTTATTGTAGGTCAACATTTTTTATCTTGTGAACCTATGGTTTCTCAACTTTGCAGTCTAGCTGAAAAACAAAAAGTCATACAAAAGTGAAATTGCATATTTTAGATTTTTATATGCCTGAGATGTTACAGCAACGTTTTTGTCAAAATCGGCTCACCGGAAGTGGAACTTTATATTGTCGATTTAACACATTTTTACGATTTTCTTGAAAACGGCCCTAACAATTTTGATTAAATTTATTATATCAGTATAAAATTATATTCATTATATCAGCAGTTTTTAATATAATGTAGGTTTTAATCTCATTTATTTTCTCTAACAGGACTTAAATGGCTAATTTTCAATATTATCTTTCCTTAAAGTTAATTGTTTTTATTTTAAATAATTAACCATTTCACATTGACATCTGATATAAAAAATAGTTAAATATAAAATATGCAAGAATTTGATAATTAACTAAAAGAGAAATAAGAGATCGTAACAGAGAATAGTTGTAGTGGAGAAACTAAAGGAATACAGCATGGCCGAGCTAACCTCGCCCAAAAGATTAATACAGGCTTCCATACGTAACATTAGTTTAATATAATACGGACTCTAACAATATTATGTACATGTACAAATGTGGTTTTCATAAATGCTATCGTTGGCATTATTTAATATTTAACTGTATGGATTACAGCATACCTCAGCTCCACAATAACCCAATGAATGACCAACGGGCAGAAATTTCTTCTCTCAAAGGTATTGAAATCCCGAAAAATCTCAAGAAATCTCTAATTAAGGGTTCACTATGCTATGATAAAGCCAGTTCTAATATCCCATGATATGAAGGCACAGAGATTAAGATGGACGGAGCATGTAGCTCGTAGCAATCCATTTGGAAGCCTCTACGTAACAATGAATCCTCAATAAAAGGCAAAAGACCACGGGAAGGCCAAAAAGCAAATGGATAGATAAAATCAACAAAAATGCAACAGATAAATGCAAAGAAATAGCCTCAGACAGGCATTAATGGAGCAGGCTTGTTAAGGTGGCATAAGCTCTACATGGTCTGTAATGCCAACAGAAAAAAAAAATAGATTACAACGATATAAATATTAAAATTTTTATATATAAGGGTACTTAAACAATTAAAAATACCCACAATGAACTATAAATATAGCATCTATAATTTTTTACTTTCACTTCTCTCTCGTCTGAAAATACTTATTTCTACTAAGAAGAGGTAGTGGTATATGAAAGTTGTGTGATGGGCGTATGTACCAGATTTTTTTTTATTAGGGAGGATACCTCCTGTCCGCCTAACGGCGGACCAACCTCCTTCTTACAAATTTTACAATTGTTTGTTCAGTTGTATTATTTATTATCAACAAAATAAACGTAATAAAACCACAGTTTTTTAATTTTTAATTTCTTTAAAAGTCTATATTATACATTGTGCCTTATTACCAATTTATAATATTATCTAATTATAATTAAAATTCTCAAAATTCTCAAGATTTGAGAATTTTAATTTGGAAAAATTAAAAAATCCATCAATTAGAAACCAATTCGAGCTAGATGTTAAGAATAGGTTTGAAGCTTTAGAGCTTCCTGACGAGGACCACGAGGATATTGACAAGTTATGGGTAGAGATCAGGGATAATATTAAAGCGGTCGGTAACTCGTGTCTAGGAAAAAAGGAAAATAAGAATAACAAACCGTGGTTTGATGAAGATTGCTTAAACATGTGTGAAAAAAGAAAAGCCGCTAAATTAAAAGCTCTAAATAATCCTAGCGAAGACAATCTGGAATACTTCCGAATCTCAAAGAACGAAACGACAAAATTGCTCAAAAATAAAAAAAGGGAGTATCTTAAAAATAAAATAATTGAAATAGAAACTAATAGAATCGAAAATAACGTAAGAGACATGTACAAAGGTATAGACAGATCACGTAAATATGTAGGGCCCGTAACGTCTGGAATTAGGGATGATAATAACAATATTCTGACCGATCCGGTTGACATATTGAATAAGTTTAAGGACCACTTTGACAATATTTTAAATACGGGAAATTATGATCTGTGTCCTCCTTCTGAGTACCAGAGTGCTGAACCGTTAATAGAAGGACCAAGTAAAGAGGAAGTTGAAGTAGCTATCGGAAAATTAAAATCATATAAAGCAGCGGGAATCGATAATATTCCTACTGAACTAATTAAGGCATGCGGGGAAGCTGGAGTTTCTAAAATACATCGGTTGGTTAAAAAGATCTGGGTGAACGAGAAATTACCTGAAGAATGGAAAGAATCTATTCTTATTCCGATTCACAAAAAGGGTCCGAGGACGGATTGTAATAACTATCGAGGAATTTCACTCCTTCCGGTATGTTATAAAATATTCACTTTAATCTTAACCAGTCGAATCACGGAATACGCCGAGGAAATTATCGGAGACTACCAATGCGGATTTAGACGGAATCGTTCGACAATTGATCAAATATTTTCTTTACGGCAAATATTAGAGAAAAAATTGGAGTATAACGGTGTTGTTCACCAGCTGTATATAGATTTTAAAAAGGCGTACGATTCTATTGACCGCCAGAAAATGTATAATATTCTAATCGAGCAGGGGATTCCTAAAAAACTAGTAAATCTAGTCAGGATGTGCTTGACGGAGACACTCAATAAAGTTAGAATCGGTAATAATTTGTCCGAAAAATTTGAGGTTCGTTCGGGCTTGAAACAGGGGGATTCTCTTTCGCCTGTCCTGTTCAATTTGGCATTAGAACATGCCATTAGGGAGGTAATGCGAACCGAGAAAGGGTTGGATCTGGGCGGGACAACATCCGTGCTGGGCTATGCTGATGATCTGGTACTGCTAAGCGAAGACGTTGAAACTATAAAACTAAATACGACAACGTTAATGAAAGCCGGTAAAGAACTAGGACTCGAAATAAACGTGGATAAAACAAAATATATGGTTAGCTGCAAAAATGGCGATACTACTGGTGATATCGATATAGATGGTAATATGTTTGAACAGGTAGATAAATTTAGGTACCTAGGTTCTACGATAACTAGAAAAAACGAAATTGAAGAAGAGATTAAGGTTAGACTGAAGGCGGGGAATGCTTGTTATTTTTCTGTGACAAAACTACTTAGTTCGCGCCTCTTGTCCCGAAACTTAAAAATTAGAATCTATAAAACAATTATCTTGCCTACAGTTCTTTATGGATGCGAAACTTGGCCGCTTACATTAAGGGATGAGCAGCGTCTTAAGGTTTTTGAAAATAAAGTATTGCGTAGAATATTCGGACCGAAGAAGGATGAGTTAACCGGAGAGTTCAGACGGTTACACAACGCCGAATTGCGTGAGCTGTATCCGGGTAATATAATTGAGGTAATTTCATCGCGGCGAATCAAATGGGCTTGTAAAGTTGTTGGGCTTAGTAACGAGAGAATTCCTAAAAGGTTAATATTTGCTGTGCCGAATGGTAAGCGTCCGAGGGGTAGACCGAAGCGAAGGTGGGAAGATTGCATTAAAGCCGATCTGAAGGGACTGGGTTTGGACGGCGAACGGTGGAGGGAGGTGTGTAACAAGCGATTGATGGTGTCGGCATCGAACCTTCGGGTTCGCTAAGCCTTATTATTATTATTATTATTATTATTATCTAATTATAATTATTTTTTTGATGATTTGTAACCGTAATAAGGGAGAAATAATTCTGGGAATAAGAAGTGCGGTGTCTTCGTTACGGTCCGTCCTGCTTTGTATAAAATAAAATATGACACAATCACTAAAAACTTTGAATAATTTAATCAAAATCTTTTATTAAATATTTTTTTATAAAAAAAAAAAATCTAAAATTTTATATTTTGAGAAGTTAGTCAGGGTTGTGGTCAATATATAAAATAGTATATTATATAATAGTATTTTTATTGAATTTTCCAACATTTCAACCTATGTGATAGGTCTTCTTCAGGAAGTTTCATCTGGCATTGCGGAAGCAGTATGGAGACTGTTAGTATCAGATAGAATTCCCTGAAGAGGACCTACAATGTAGGTCGAAAGGAAAATTCAATAAAAAATACTGGTTTGTAATATTTTATATATACAACGGTAAACCATTTCCACACCACTAAAATTTTATATTTTTCTTTACGTTAATGAATGCTACAAACAATCCTAAAATTATCAAATTCCAAGACCTTCTTGCTTAGGCCCTTGGTTGATTTGATATGGAATGACCCAAAGCCTCTTGTGGATCTTGTGTTTTTAGATACATTATAACTCATTTAATTCTTGAAGAAATATTTTCCGATTCTGCATTATAAAAGAATTCAATTGGATTACCATAACATGGAAATCCGGATAAAGCAAAAGCAAAATAAATGGTAATTTTTTTAAAATTATATAAAATAAATTTTTTCTTGGGTCCTAAGGCCCATTGGAGTGAACACTTGGTTATATGTCCAATATTTTTGGATGTAGAATCACTAAATAAATCGGTGACCAATTGACTCTGACCTCTCCTTGTCAGCGTAAAGATCTGTCTGTACACATCTTAACTTGTAGAGAATCTTTTTTTATTATTGATCAAAATATTCAATGTTTATTTCAGGTCTATATGAAATTAGAAAAAGGAAAAAATTTGGATTACTGGAATGATATTACTGTTATTGTTGAAGATGAATTGTATAAGCTGAGGAAAATGGGAAAGAAATCAGACTATGAAGCAGGTAAAGTAAAAAAAAATAATTGGTGTTCTTTTCCTTCTCTGTGCAAAAAATGAAAAGGAAACTACACTTTCTTGAGCAAAACCTTATGCATCATCCAAATCCTCCTTGGCCGTGGTCCCACGGCCTTTTCTAGTTATATATAGATAGTATAGTATGGAATATAGAGAGCTCTGGCAATGGCCAGATGCTTCTCTCAAGACATGTGTGTTTGTGGGTATTGTCCTACTCAATAACCTAATCTCTAATGGATTTTTGTATCAGTGATGCAATTGAGAGAGTATAATATGGATTCCTATTTTTTTCTCCTCAGGAGGCGGGGACAAGCCTGCTTCTGAGTTCCCTTGGCCGATTGTAATTTTTTTTTTCGGTTGGTATTACTGTACCTTGTTGATTTTTTGCCGCCTTAATCAGCTTTTTCTATCTCTGTCTATCTTGGGTTATTTCTTTAAAGTTATCTGGATGGAGCTCTATTGCATCTTTATTGATTCGGTCTGTCCATCTGGTTTGTGACCTTCCACGTGGTCTCTTGCTTACTATTAAGGCATTTGTTGCTCTGTAGAGGCTTCCTGATGGCTTTGCTCGAAGCTACATACCCTGCCCATGTCATGGTTATAGTGTATTATTGTATATAGGTATGGTTGTCTGTGTTTAATTAAGACATTACTTTACTTTACTTATGTTTAAGTTTATTTTATTTTTATTTATTGCACATATGTTTTGTTTTCAATATTATTATTTTACTTTTATTTAAATTATTTTTGGTGGGAATGGAGTAGATCAATGGTAGGGTACTGAGCTTCCAATGCTGAAGGTCCCAGGTTCGAATCCCGGCTCATGGCAGAAAAATTATTTATTCTGTTTTATTGGCTGTGGGACGACCCTGGGTAGGTAGACCCTCCTGGGACACACCCAGCCTCTGTAAAGTGAGGACTCATAATTAAAATAATTAATTAAGAGGAAAAACCTGGCGGTTGATTGTGATCTCGGTCAAATCACCTCCTTATAGAACTGTAGACCAACACACAGTGCTTTCCCTAAAATAGTACTGAACTCAAGACCCTTCATGGATTGTAGTGGTACAGTTTTGTTTTTTTAAAATTGATTTATGCTTTCTGTAAATATGGTTATGAATATATTCATTTCTCATTATAGCTATTATTCTTCATTTTGACAGAATGTTATACTACTTAATAAAACAGTCTCAATTATAAAAACTTAAATTTTATTAAATTGAAATTTACAACTGTATTAAATGATAAAAACAACAAGTAAATATGAAATAAATAACATGACATGAAGAGACTACCCATTGGTTGCACTCCAATAATATTTCTAAATTAGAAGGTTCCGAGGCCATCTTCTTTTTAGATGCCTCGGAGGGTTGTCAGGAATAAAAGAGGAAGCAAGATTAGAAACAAGAGAGTTCGGATGGTTCAGAAGTTTATTATGGAAGGATAGGTATCTGGATTGAGCTATATCTGAAACATATGGTACATTAAGGTCATTATGGATGATTTTATTTGTTACAAAGTATGGAGCATTGAGGATTTTATGAAGGGTTTTGGATTGTAATGATTGGATATGAGAGGAATTTGATGGTTTGCCAGAACACCAAAGCTCAATCCCGTAAGCCCAAACAGGCCTAAATATAGTAATATATGTATATATATATATATATATATATATATATATATATATATATAGAGAGAGAGAGAGAGAGAGAGAGAGAGAGAGAGAGAGAGTCTTTTGTAAATAGCTGGAAGTTTAGAGCATCTAGTAAATGCTGCAGTTGTCGAAAACGATGGGCGTTTTCTAGTCGTTTCAGTCTGGTATAAAGGTTCCAAGTGAATCATTTATCCAGATGGAGTCCTAGGTATCGGATTTGTTCAACAGGGATAAGTGGGGTATTGTTGAAGGATACTGTAGGACAGGAAGTCATAGGTTTACGATGAAGAGTAAAGATAATTTGATGGGATTTATTGGAGTTTATTTTAATCCTTCAGTTTTGACACCATTTTTCAAGTATCACTAATAAGAAAATTTACAAAACAAATACTCAATAACTAATTTATTTACTAATCTATATAAAAATATTTAAAAAAAAACATTTTCTGTAAATAAATAAAATAAAACTATAAGTCTCAGTAAAAATAAATTAAAATAAAATAAGGAATTAAGAAAGAAAAACAGAAAAAATTATATATATACACTGTCTTAGGTACGAACTCAAGATTGTCTGAAAGTAATACAAAGCACCGTGACAGTGAACTTGAAAGATAAGACCCACTGAGGGGAATTATCTGCCACGTAAGCTATCTCTAGCAAACAAACACCAATTTAATGTTGCTAATTGTTAATAAAATAAAAAGTCACATACCTCACTGATTGTGACTCAAAAATTTTAAACTCAAAACTTAAATTAAATTAAAAAATTATTCAAAGAGAATTTGAAAATAAAAAAATGGAAAATCCCTCAAATTATTGCGAATTCTGATTACCAGAGTTCAGATTAACATGAATCCACTGTTATCTCGACTTGTTAAAGGATAATGTTATGATTTTTTTCCAGCCCATTAAGTTTTATAATTTTTATTCAGCCTTCTAATTATTTCAATTTCAGCTGTTGGCAGAAGAGAAGGTATTCATGAATCTGTAGCTAAAGAAGTATCTTCAGTCTTCAGAGGTAAAACAGCTTCACAACTTGCTGCCATGCAAAAACAGATTGAGAAGAAAATCAGTGATAAAGGTGAAGGAATCGATATTGGATACTGGGAATCTCTTCTTTCCCAACTAAAAGGTTCATAATTTGTTTTCTTATTTTTGCAAAGATTATTTGTAAATTTTACTAAAAAGTAAAATTCTATAGTAAAAGCCCTCATTATATGTTTCTATAATTACAGCTCATATGGCACGAGCTCGTCTCAGAGATAAACACCAAGAAAACCTAAAACAGAAATTGGAATTACTCAAAGCGGAACAAAGACAGCAAGAACAAGAAATAAAAGAAGAACCTCTAGACGAATCAGAACAACAGGAGAATGAAAATAGTGATGAAATCAAAGAAGAAAAAGAAGATAGTGAAGAAGAGCATAGGTGAGATTACTACTAATTTATAATTAGGGGCAAAGCTTTCTGATAACACATATCAGCTACACTATAAAAGCCTGTAAGAACAAAAACTAACAATTTTTAGGAGACCAAAAAACTGCGTAAGTTTCATTTTATGAGCATTATATTTTTGGTTCAATTTTTTTTTCAGGCCTTGGACTCTATATAACTTTTTTTATCGTATTTCTGCCAAATAGTCTTTTAGAAGCATTACTTCTAACTTACGGCTTTTTAACTACTTTGAAAAACAAGTATTATTAAGGTAAAAGCAATCAAACTTCCTTTAGTAACACCCATAACTTTGTTAATAATGACCAAAACATGACAGCAACAAAGTCGGTTTCCAAAATGTAGAGAAGCGATACTTCAAATGAAAATTTGTAAAACATTTGACTGGAAAGCGAGTATTTGATCAAAGGGTTATTCACTTTTTATTCTCTTTTTTGAACTGAGTGCATGCATCACTTTTTAGAGTAGTCTATGGAAGTTTCGTTTTTAACATACTCAACTTTATATGGACATTCATGATTTATTGATAAGTTCTACGTAACCTGTTGATGTGTAAATCATTTCTTTTCTGAACTTCTTGAGATTTGGAAGATGTTTTGGTTTGAAAAGATGAAACTATAGCTCTTTTTTCCTCTCATGTTAAATTTTCCAATTAATGAAATCAATTCTCTGTCTCTCACTATCTGAAATTCGGCGGCAATATAGCTTTTTTCCAGTAAAACTCATATTGCAGTTGCGAGGAGGTTTTGATTGTTTTAAATGCCATTGAATATTATATTCTCACTTTGCACTCTCTTCTTTGCTTCGTCTAGTTCCTTTGGTAAGCAGTGCCAGCCTCAGAGGAGGAGAAACCTGGTATTTGCTCAGAAGTCCCGGGCTGGAAGTGCTCGCCACTTATTAGAAATTTAAAAAAAGAATAAGAAGTATTTGAGAAAAAATAATTTTAGCTGATTAATAAAACTAATTTATACTGTAATCTCTGCACAATATGCTTTATGCATTCTGTATTTACATGACCACCTTTCATTGAGCGTTTCATTGCATTTTTACGGTAACGGCACAATCTCTTTAACTTTCACTGTAACTTACAGTTTTTTACATCACAATTTGCTGGTTTTAAGTTACAGGTTTTTACAAAAGACCATAGGGAAGAAATGAAACTTGGTAGATTTCTTGTAGGATCAGAATATGTGCTAGGACAAGATTGACCTGAAAAGCTCAAAACCTCATTTTCCAAAGAAATTGACCTTACAGGCTCTTGCAGTGTGGCTGTCGATATGGTGTTCATTTATATAAGTTTGTTTTTTGAAGTTACTCTATATTACAGCTTCTATTAAAGTATAATAAATATCTGTAGGAAAAAACTTTGGACTAAAATGTTTTAGACATATTTTTTAGATAACTGTTCCTCTAGTTAAACTCTTTTGCCCATCATTTATTCTATTAAGGCTACTTTAACCGGATTTATTTTATTTGATATTTAAAAATCTATAATAGTTTTATTTTTATTTTGTTAAGAGAATTGCACTTGTCTCAATATATTGAATAATATATTAATATTTCAGTGGAGGTGATGAGGATGGTGGGGAGTCTATGCTAAAAGAAAGTTTCGGAGAGTACGAAGCTGGAGCATACTCACCAGTTTATGTTGATCCTGCAAGTCTTGAACCTGGAACTCTTATCATTGGTGAAGAGGAGGATGCTCAGAGGCTGGAGTATGCTAGGCAGCATCTTACCTCTCAAGAAAGTCAGGTAGTAATATCTGCTTGTAACCTTTATTATGATTATTCTTTTTTATTTAATTTTTAATTTATTTTCTTGGGAGGAGGAGAGTTTTCATGATATATTCTCTGACAAATAGAATTGTAATTTAATTATACCTAAAAGTATATAACTCTCATTATCATTATCACATGTTCAATCAAGTTTTCAAAGGACATTTATTAAAATGTTTGTAATAATTATTTTTTATTATTAAGTGATTTTCTGGCCATATCACTTCCTCCCCAAAATTATTTTTTTAAAGTAAAGAAGTAACAAATTGGTTTTGGTCCTTCAGTATTAGTGATATAGACTATTATCAGGCGTTAAAAACATATATAAATTCATAAGCATTAAACAATTTGTGTGTATTTACAATCAGTATATGTTTATATACTAAAAATATCTTATTTCACATCAATTCTAATGCACTTATATAAAAGTAAAAAAGCAAAATAAAAAAACAAAACAGGGAATACATTCAAATGCTCATTTCTTATCCATTTTGAAAGCTAGAATTGAATCTATTTATGATGAAAAATTCTATTTATCCCTATTCTTTCATATATTTTTATAAATATTCTGTTACATATAGTCTGTTTTTATTTTAACTTGTAATATTTATACATCAATCTTGATTTACTATTATTAATATATATTATTATTATAAGGGAAACTTATTGTGCTATATTTTATTTTTCTTTACTATTCTGCATTTCTTGTAAATATTTCATATAATGTAATGATTTTTTTCCTTTTTATATATTTAATATATTTTAGTCTTTTGGCCAGAAATATTGTTATTGTTATTGGACATTATTCCAATTAAAGTTATTTTTCTATTCTTTGTAGCTATAGTAAATATCTATAGTTTGATCTACTGTTGTTTAGTCTTGAATCATACCATTAATTTGAAATTACTTGCTCTTGTATTAAGCGTAAATTACATCATGCAAATACCTTTAAGTAAAGGATTCTTTAATCTTTGATTATTAATAAATAATAATCAACATTCAGATAAGATTTTTAAGGGTATGTTACTTGATCAAGGTTGCTCTTCAGCTCAGCATTCCTTAAATTAAGCATATATTGTACTACCTGAAAAATTACGCGCGTTAGTACTAATTTTAGTTGCTAAAATACTCACTATTGACCAAAATGTTAATGTTAATGCTAGTTATTGATGGTTTGTAATATGGACAGGCTGCAATGTTATAAAATGAATAAGATAATAAAAATAATCGGAATATCGGAACTTGAACTGATTTTTTTAGTATTCACTGAATGGTTTAGTATAATTTAAATTAAAATAATAATTTATTTTGGGAACAGCATAATTAATTGTTTGAAAATTGTCAATAATAATAAACCTGAAACCTCCGGTTGCATAATATCTTAGTATAGTACACAATTTTAACGTTGAATGCAAAGGCAATCATCTCTCATCCCCACTATTATCATTCTTAAATAGTATAATTAAAATATCTGGAATACTATCCTTGTTAAATCTTAATATTTTCTTAAATAATGAGAATTTCAATTCAAGGTGATATTTATAACTTCAAATACCCATTTGGATACCTATCGCGATCATATTAGTCCATGGCACTGACCCCTTTTTATCAAATTATTAACATCCGCCTAAAACTTCATAAATGGCTTTATCTTATCATAACTTACAAATTTTTTATCAACAAAAATTGTCAGAAATGGAGCGTTTTCTAATTAAATTAATTAATTTAATGAGGTACTTAATACTCATGAATACTGATTTTCTTTCCATTTGAATCATTTGATTATTTCATCAGAAAATCTAAAAAAAAAAAAATGTCTTATACAAAAATATTAGGCCGTTTGGCCTATATATAACTTTGTTACTTTGAAATGTTGGGAGTGAATGTGATGCCGATTCGCCCAATATTTTTGTAGACCACCTTTATTTCTGCTTTTGTGATCAAATTATCTTACAATTCTAATAGAAAGCAAATGTGTGTTCATGAGTGTTTAATACCTAATTAAATAGACAAAGTTAGATGATCTCCAGATCGAAAACATCCCAATTCAGAGAATTTTCGTAAATAAAAAAATTGAAGGTTACAATGAGATAAAGCATTCCGATGATATATTCACAAAGTTTTTGGCAGATGATAATAATTTGATAAAAAGGGGTCTATACCATGGACTATATTCTTCGATAAATTCCAAAAAGTCGTATAGCTCATTATCAGACACGATAATCTCTAAGTTATAATTTTGTTCATCATTATACTGAGAAATAGTAATATTTAAATTCATTTGAAGACTCAATATATACAGCTTGGAAATAAGCAGTAGATTTCACTCGACCTTAGTGTAAGAATGTTTGGAAATATCAAATACAAAAAAAAAGGAACTTAACTATTTTTCACTTATATGAAACATTAAAAAATCAATCCTTCCTTATCACTTGAATGATTTTTTTTTCTGAAATGGTTAAGTTGAATTTACTCTGGTTTCATAAAAAAATTTACTTCAGTGATCTCTCTATGTTGAATGTTACATTATTTTATTCTCATACTAGTTTGTTATAGGTTAAGAGTAGTTAAGTTCAAGACTGCATTAACTATCTAGCGTTTATTGTCTAAACGCTTATGATGTTATATAACGAACAAGGTCAATAAAATGTGCAGATCCTGTCTTTTAGTATAATAATTATCCATTAAGTTTATCCTCTTCAGCCACTTTCCATCTTTTATTTTTAACATCATTCAAATTTAAGTTATTGGTTATTTGCTGAAATATTTATATTTATTTAAGGTGGGAGCTACATCTGAAGAGTTGGCGATGCAAAGGGAAGCACGTAAAGGCATGTCTAGTGATGAAGCCATATTTTCAGTTGAATCTGCTCTCGATTCTCAAGTGTATCTGTGGTCAGATAAATACCGTCCTCGAAAACCAAGATATTTTAATAGGTAAGTCAAGTATCATATATACCAGATGTAACAGATAATAATTCTTAATATTTTACCTTCACTTACCTATGTATATTATTCTTTTCTTTTTTCACCAACCTTACCTTTTCGGCTATTGAGGTTTTTCCTAGGCCAGAGGATTAATGCCACAATTAGATGCTCCCAGCACAGGGATTTGAACTCGTACTCTTCAAGTTATCAGGTTGTCAGGCAATGCATGTATTATAAAGGCATTAGGCCTCTCGGACCACCCCACCCCTTCACTTGCTTATAAATTAAATATATAATAAGGGAAAGTATTGTGAATGCGAAAATTTCTGAATCTGGATTTTCTAGATTCCACATTCAAATATCGAAGTTTTACAGATCAGTCTCTGTATGTGTAAGTGATCAGTCTAGCTCGAAAATTATAATAATAAATAATAATAAGAGGCTTAGCGAACCTGAAGGTTCGATGCCGACACCACCAATCGCTTATTGCACACCTCCCTCCACCGTTCGCCGTCCAAACCCAGTCCCTTCAGATCAGCTTTAATGCAATCTTCCCACTTTTGCTTCGGTCTACTCCCCTGACGTTTACGGTTCGGTACAGTACAGCAAATATTAAGCTTTTAGGAATTCTCTTGTTACTAAGCCCAACAATTTTACAAGCCCATTTGATTCGCCATGATGAAATCATCTCAATTATATTACCCAGATACAGTTCACGCAACTCAGCATTGTGTAACTGTCTGAACTCTCCGGTTAACTCATCCTTCTTCAGTCCGGATATTCTATGCAATACTTTATTTTCAAAAATCTTAAGACGCTGCTCATTCCCTAATGTAAGTGGCCACGTTTCGCATCCATAAAGAACTGTAGGTAAAATAATGGTTTTATAGATTATAATTTTTAAGTTCCAGGACAAGAGGAGCAAGGTAAGTAGTTTTGTCACAGAAAAATAACAAGCATTTCCCGCTTTCAGTCTAACCTTATTCTCTTCTTCAATTTGTTTTTTTCTAGTTGTCGAAGACCCTAGATATCTAAACTTCTCTACATGTTCAAACACATTACCATCTATATTGATATCACCGGTAAATCGCCATTTTTGTAGCTAACCATATATTTTGTTTTATCCTCGTTTATTTCGAGCCCTAGTTCTTACCGGCTTTCATTAAATTTTTTGTATTTAGTTTTATAGTTTCCACGTCTTCGCTTAACTGTACCAGATTATCAGCATAGCCCAGCATGGGTGTTGTCCCACAGATCCAACCCTTTTTCGGTACGCATTACCTCCCTAATGGCATGGTCTAATGCCAAATTGAACAGGACAAGTGAAAGTGAATCCGCCTGTTTTAAACCTGAATGTAACTTACACTTTTCGGACGAATTATTCCCGATTCTAACTTTATTGAGTGTTTCCGTCAAGCACATCCTGACTAGATTTATTAGTTTTTTCGGAATCCCCTGCTCAGTTAGAATATTTTGCAGTTTCTGGCAGTCAATAGAATTGTAAGCCTTTTTGAAATCGATATGCAGCTGGTGAACAATACCGGTGTACTCTAATTTTTTCTCTAATATTTGCCATAAAGAAAATATTTGATCAATAATCGAATGATTCCGTCTAAATCCGCTTTGATAGTCTCCGATAATTTCCTCGGCGTATTCCGGGATTCGACTAGTTAAGATTAAAGTGAATATTTTATAGCATACCGGAAGGAGTGAAATTCCTCGATAGTTATTACAATCCGTCCTCGGGTCCTTTTTGTGAATCTGAATAAGAATAGATTCTTTCCATTCTTCAGGTAATTTCTCATTCTTCCAGATCTTTTTAACCAACCAATGTATTTTAAAAACTCCAGCTTCCCCACATTAGTTCAATAGGAATATTATCGGTTCCAACTGCTTTATAAGATTTTAATTTTCCAATATCTACTTCAATTTCCACTTTACTCGGTTCTTCTATTAACGGTTCCGCACTTTGGTACTCAGAAGGAGGACACTGATCATAATTTCCTGTATTTAAAATATTGTCAAAGTGGTTTTCTTCCACCAAAGCCCACTGAACATCGTCATCAAGAGAGGAAATCTTTCCATGACCTTCTTTGTCTTCAAGGTTGCAGTCTCCCTCCTGAAATTTTTTAAATTTCAGAGTACACTCATTAATGCCGCTCTCGCCCCAGACTTCATTGATGTTTCTGGCCCTCTGAGCCCCATTCAGGCCAAGTTTAAACTTGTAAAACAGAATTATACGAAAATCACATATCTTAGTAAAGACTGAATTATTTCTAAGCAATGAAATGCTATAGAGATAAACAAACATTATCATTTAGAAGAGGATTAATAAGTGTTTACATTCATACAAATGAACAATATAGTAAATGTAGACAGTTTGTTATATAGAGGTGTATTTAAAACTCAGAGGTGTAAAGAAAACTCAAAATCCTGCATTATTTTCCGGGCAATCTAATATATATTTATATATTCACATCCACCTTCGAAATGTTGCTCACAAGGTACAAATACAAAGTCATTTCTCCGTTGAATTGTGATAGGTGGCAGAAATTGGATATATTTTGAGAATTCTAAGCATCAAAGATCATGGGTAACTCCAGGCGAAACATCAACTTTGATTGCAAGTACAAGTCACTATGGAAAGAAGATAATGCTCTGTGTTTGGTGGGATAAGAACCTAATGTTTTGGGAAAGGCAGGAGACAGATAACGGCACTTAAGAAATATTTTAGGGGGCAAGGGCTAAAGTTAGCAGTGCTAGCTTCTCTTCGCGCTAGCTTAACTCTCAGATATTTGACGTCTCTGGTCCATGACGTCATCTTCTCCAAAAAATTTAATTTATTTCTTAATCTTTTGTAAATTGTGTAATATTTGAATAGTATTTCATTCAATATCTCTCTAATTAAGCTGTTTTATTAATAAGCTAAATTTAATTGTTCTCATATCCTTTATATTTTTTAATATCCAAGAAATGGAGAGGAGGCCTCCCCGGACATATGTCCTGGTTATCCTGCAGGCCGACAAGGAAGGTTAATATAAAAGGATAACTGTGTTTAATGGTTGGGAGAAGGGAGAGGGGACTCAATGCCATGCATAAAGGAGTGGCTCAGCAATCAGTTTGTTACCTGAAATAGAATATAATTATTACTTATATGGTTTATTGAAATTTTTGTGAGTTATTTTAAGTAAACACCTGTTAAATATTGGGATGCTTAATACTCCCTTCAAAAAATATTGAGGAGACAGAAAGTGCTCTGTCCCCCTGATGGCTCTAATGAAAGGAGACTGTGATTGATTTATCATAACAGAAGAGTTTGGCTGATGCTGCTTAATTTGTGTTCCTTTTTCCATAGACTTGAAATCATTGAAAGACCTGAACTTAACTTTCATTTTTGAGAGTTTCCATCCGATGTAACTCAATTTTGGTTTTGGTGTAGAGATATATGTTATAACAATCCAAAACGCTTATTTGTATATAAATTTAAAATGTTTTTTCCCTTTTAGAAGAGAATGATATTTTAAATATTAACTAATTTTAACATGTTAAATATCTATTTTAAGTTAAAATTTATAATTGATTTTTTCTTCTCTTTTAGAGTTCATACAGGATTTGAGTGGAACAAGTATAATCAAACCCATTATGATATGGATAATCCTCCTCCAAAAATTGTACAAGGATACAAATTCAATATATTTTTTCCAGATCTTATTGATAAAACATCAACACCAGAATATTATCTTGTAAGTAAACTTTTAACAGACTTGAATTATTATTTTGTCACTTTTTGCAGTAGCTATTCTTGTTATTGATTTACAGCATGATTATGAAAATTCATGTAAAATTTATTTATACTATTCTTTTGAATAAAATATAAAATTATAAGTAGATCTCTTTGTTATAATATGGTAAGCATTAAGATATAATATTACCATAAGTATGATTTAAAAAATGAATAAATAAGAATAAGAAACAGAAAAAAGAATCGAGTGTTATTCACTTAAACCAGAGATGGGCAAAATCGTAATCAATGATTACATGATAACAACTGAAAATAAAACTTAATGACCGCACCAATGTTATACTTGATGTAATAGCACTATAAATATAGCAAACGTGTGAAACAATTACCTGATTACGTGTAATCACGTAATCAAAATCACTGTAATCAAATTCACTGTAATCTTAATCACAATCACTGTAATCGTAATCACGTAATCATAATCGCATAATCGTAATAAAAAAATCAAATACTCTTGAAATATTCTCATGTTACACTTTTAAACTGCATCATTTTCTCAGGATTTTTTAATTTCTCTAAGTCCCAGGCTTTTCATCTGTACAGCATTTTACACTAGCTTTAACCTTCACTAGATTATGATCAGAGTCCTAATTGGGCCCTCTGATATCAATGATCGAGGAAGTATGTCGCTTATTTATAAGCACATGATCAATTTGGGCCAAGGAGCCATCGCCTTCCTTCCAAGTTCCAAGGTGAATGATTTTATGAATAAACCAAGTGCTTTTTATTACCATGATGCTTCTGCTACAAATGATCTCAAATGATGCTACAAATTGACTGGTAGATGCCTACCATTAACATTTGTTTCCTCATGAAGCGAATGGGTTCCAGTAACATTTTTTGTAAAGCTTTCTTTTCCAACTCGGGCATTCAGATCACTCATGATAATTTTTGTATTATATTTAGAGCTAAATTGAAAAACTTTCTAATTGTTGATAAAAAGGTATTTTATCATCATCATCACTTTTGTTTGTTGGAGCATAGGCTGATATTAGTGTCACATTTCTGAATATTTCTTTTTACTTTCACTTACCTATATATGTATTATATAGTAAGGGTAAGTATTGCGATCGTGAAAATTTTTGAGTCTCAGTTTTCAACGGAAATACACATTTTGAGGTACCCTGAGTGCAAATAACCAAGTCCCGAAAAATGGTCTGTGTGTATGTGAAGACTCTAGCTCGAAAACGAAAAGTACAAAAATGAAATTTCATATTTAAGGTTTGTATTTATCTTGTATGTTACAGCAACTTTTTCGTAAAAATCGACTTACCGGAAGTACCACTTTATATCAACGGTGAAACACATTTTTACAATATTCTCAAAAACAGCTCTAACGATTTTGATTAAACTTGGTGTATCATTGTATAATTAAGTGGTCTTTAATACCATTTAGGTCTTATCCTTGTTGATGTCACTTTACAGGGCTTAAATGCCCAATGTTCATATATGTCTTCCTCTTAAGTACCTTTAATATGGTTCATTTAAAAAAATTAACTATCTCTCATTATTAAAAGTTACAAAAAATGCTAAATATAACTTTTGAAAGAATTTTATAATTGAATTAAGGAGAAAAAAAATAAAAATGCTTATCCAGGTCGAAAATGAATCTCAGGAAATAACAGCAAGAAGGTATACGTATAATATATCCTTTCTATTACACTTGCTAATCTAGTATTTACCATCTTCTCCTGGGTTTTTGACAAGGTCGAACAAAGGGAAATAGGACGGTAGTCTTTCGGTTGATTGCTATTAACTATTTTGAAGATCGCCATCCCACTATTATGGATATTCTCCAAAAACCTGAGGGAAACTGCTACTTTCCCACACTTGGTTATAGAGCTTTAATGTGTGTGCTTTGCCTTCATATGGGAGATTCCGAATCATTTCATAAGAAATGCCGTCGATACCAGGAGCAAATACCTTTTTGCATTTATTGATGGCATGTTCTAATTCTTTCCAGCCAAAGAGATTATTATAATCTTCACAGGGGTCGGCCAGTTCTTCAACATCATTCATTCGACTAAATAATCATGTATCATTGAATGAAACTGACGATATTTTTGCAAAATGATTTGCCATTATCCGCTGTATCATCTAAATTTGTTATTACTTCTTCTAGTTTTAAGCCCGATATTTGGTTTTGATATCCTATTCCTCGTATGGACCGAATCTTGCTCCATATCTCTTTCGCAGAAGTGATATTGTTGATGGACGAAACAAACTCTCCAAGAATTCTTTTTGCTATTTTTAACTTTCTTTTATCTGACGCTCTCAACTTTTTGAATTCTATAGCATTCTCCAATGTCCTATTTTTTCTAAACTTGTTTAGTGCATGTTTTTTAGCCCTTATGGCTTCTTCACATTTTCGGTTCCATCATGGAACTACTCTTTTCAGTTTTTATTCTCCTTTAAGTTGGATATTTTGTCGGACTGCTTGCATAATTATACAATTAAAAGCTTCTAGCCCTCTTCAGAATGTTTATTCATTCTAAAGGAAATAAACTCTCTAAACCTGTCCCAATTTGTTGTCTGATATTTCCAATGTTGTAATGTCGGTTTTGATGATGAAAATTGTCTAATTCTAAGGACTATTGGGAAGTGGTTGTTTCCATATAAGTGGGATTTCGTTTCCCAGGTAATCTTCGGAGCTAATCTAACATCAGCCGGGCTGAGATTGTGGAAAATTTATTGCGTTTTGAGCAAAAATGTGTAAATTCTTCCGTGTTAAGAAGACTAGCTGTTTGATTTGTTTCAAGAAAAGTTATGACTTTGTGATCCCTATGGTCTAAATCTGGTAGAGGCGAGCTATTAGTATCCCCTACATTGAGCTATTAGAATCAAAATCTCCGAGGAGGACATAGGGGCTGGGAAATTGAGATGTTATTTCTTCAAAGTTTTCAGTGGAAAGGCAGACAGCTGAAGGAAAGTATACATACAAATTGTTAGTGGCTCTGTTAAGTACAGTCTTATTGCAATGGCTTCATGTGAGGTTCTCAATGTTAGCTCCTCAGAGAAAATATCTTCCCTTACAGATACTGAGACTCCATCTCATGATCTGTCAGTGCTAGCTCTGTATTTCCTGTAGGTTTGATATCCTTTTATATTCATGGTATTCTTATTATTTAGGTGAGTTTCTTTAAGGCAGCAACACAGTGGATTTTATTCACTAATTACTTTCTTAAAATATTTTAAGTGATGGAAAAATCTGTTACAATTCTACTGTAGAATTGCCTCCATTTTCTGCATATTCTATTTCTATACTACTAGTGTACCTATCGAGAAATGATAGGTAAATCTTTAATCTTAGCTAAATCAGAAAAGGCAGGATGGACTTCAGTAAAATTGTGAGATTTAATGATTTTTGAAAATCTGATTTTCATGCCTTTGTGTATATTGTTACCTCTAAGTTCTTTAAACATTCTTTCTAAACCTTTAATGTCGTCAGTAAATTGTCTTAAGAGTTCATTAACAGTTGAGCTATTTTCATCCTAGACCATATCGATCAATAGGCAAAGTCAGTTAAATATTAATAGGTCATTAGTCATTAGTTACTAAATGGCGTATAGGTTCCAAAAATTCCTTGGTATTTTGTTTTAATTTTCCTTTTATTTCAGTATCAGTAATTTTCCTGAAATCAATTCTTGAATTGCTTGTTTTTGTAATAGTTTTAAGGGTCTCAGGTTTCTGTAACGTTTCCAAAGTGTTCTCTGTTGTGTTTTTGTTTTTTCCCTGAGGTGCTCTGAGTTGGACAACATTTCTATATTTTGTGCTAGTGTTTGGGGAGATTTTTTCATCAGTAAATATGCCCGGGTTAAGTACTGATTTATCGTTGTTAATTGTCTGTTTCAATTCAGTATTCTGTTTTTCATTGAGGGAGTTTACCTTAAAAGGATTTTTTTTCAACTGAGGACTCTGATCGTCAACAGTCATATGTTCTTTGGTGGATGTAATAAATTCATCGGTATTATATTTATTCCCATTTTTTGTAAAATCTGGTTCCATGCAACCTATGGAGGAGGCTCCAATCGGAGCATTAGACAGGATTCCTTCTTTTGCGTGTGAAGACTTATCATCAGATCGGTGGAGTGAATTGGTATTTTTTATTTCTGTGGCCTCCGTTTACATATTATTGTTGTTGCTATTAGTCATTTTCTGAAAAACTTTTTTATTTTCTTCACTATTGCCTGAAGTTTGGTTTTGCTTCGCAGAGGGTTCTCCTGGCGTACTCATATCTACTTGTTGGCTGGTTTTCCCTCATCTCAGCATATGTTAGTTGTCTTGAATTGTTCTGTTCATTATTCTGGTTTGTTACGATATGGCTTTCAAAATTATCTCCAATCGACCCACCTGCCAATTCTGGTGACGCAAAATCTTGCATTTTTACCAGGTTGTGCAGTTGTAGTAGAACACTCAGCAAAAATCCCGACTACTCTGGCTTGAAACAGCTCCCCGGGTTTTTGCCCAGTTAGTTGTATCAATAGGCAGGAAAAAACTAAAAATACGCGTACATTTACCACAATAACTTCAATCCAATTTTCAGAATTTCAGAATCAGAACACCTATTTAAATAAAAGCGAAATGTTGGGAGAATTCATCTCTGTACACGAATTTCCTAATGGAATATAAAAAAAATGTTATTATCGTGACCAGCACTAGTGATTTCTTCCAGGGGGCGGGTCCCCCTCTGGATGCTAGAAAAATAATTCCATAAAAAATATACAAAAACATCTATTTAAAGAAATGACAGATGAAGTTTTTGGGCCGCTGTGAGATGCGAATTTTGCTCCTTATGCAGTTTGTTCCTATTGATTCCGAACTGAGTCTCGCAGGTGAAATACATGATGGGGGAAAATTTATTAAAAAAAAAAACACTTCATTTATTCTTTCGAACCACCTTTTATTCGAGCACAAGAAAATACGAGTTTTCTTCCGGATCCA